CTAGAGTTCTCTGATTTGCTCATTTTAGCCACTCTGACTGGTGTGAGGTGGTATCTCAGTGTGGTTTTGATTTGTATTTCCCTGATGAGGAGGGATGCTGAGCATCGTTTCATGTGTCTGTTGGCCATCTGGATGTCCTCTTTGGAGAAGTGTCTGTTCATGTCTTCTGCCCATTTCTTCACTGGGTTGTTTGTTTTTCGGGCGTGTAGTTTGGTGAGTTCCTTATAGATTCTGGATATTAACCCTTTATCTGATATGTCATTTGCAACTATCTTTTCCCATTCCGTTGGTTGCCTCTTAATTTTCTGGGTTGTTTCCTTGGGTGTGCAGAAGCTAAAATATCCTTAATTTTAAGGATCACTCAGGCCACCTCAGTGAGCTTCCTTCTTACTGGCACCCAAACTCTTCTTGTCACACATGAAGTGGCACACCACCTAAGAAAGGTCTCTACTGTCACACTTTCCTTACATTCCACTGTCCACAACCTTATGTGATCCACTTTGCAATACTCCCATTACCTCTCAGGAAGTGACTACTCCAACATTCTCTCTGGTACGGAAAAACTGCTTAGGACCTATAAATATCCAAGTCCAAAAGATACCATTTGTCTCATGAAATACTGCTCTGAGGTATTTCATATCACGGCTTTTAGGAAGATCTCTTTTCTCAAATTTGCAGGGAAACAACCACTCTCCCAAACGGTCACCTGTTGCTCCCCAGCCCTCCTGCACTGCAGCCCTTCCTGGTCTTTGCCACAAATCCTCCATTTGGCCCTTTTCAGGACTCTGTGCCATCATACCCTGGGACCCGACTAACACAGGGACCTTTAATCAGGACACTTGCAGTTGAGAACTCCCACTCGAGCTACACTCAGCTGTAGGCACCACATGTTCAACACCTACAAAACTTCACTCCTTTCCTGGATGCCTCCTCTAACACCGTTCCCAAGACAGGAAGCATCACCACCCTCTGCAGGAGGTCAGAAGTTCAGCAATCGCTATAAAGTCTCCTCTCGCTCACTCCGTCAATCACTCGCATAGTCCAGGGGATCCACTGCCCCCACCCCCCGCTCCAAAACCGCTTCCTCCTGCTTCCTTAACAAGGACCCTCGTTTCCCCCAAAATGCGGGGTCTGCAGCTGCCAATTAGGCATAACTTCCAAAGAAGAGAACACCGGGCACAAAACGCCAGAAAACGGGGAACGGTTCTGGAGATCAGAGACACTGGCGGGGGGAAAGGGTACATGAGTTCGGGTCCCGGATATGACCAAAAGACGCTGAACGTGGCCATCCTCACTGCCGGGTCACCTTTTAAAGACGAGAAAACCGTTACTTACCCAACACGAAGCTGTCCGGAACCCGGCGGCCATCCCGTCCTGTTTCGTGCAGACTGCGGAGCAGAGAACCGAACCGTGAGGGGTCTCCCTGCTGGTCTCACCCGCGCCCAAAGATGGAGCTCCCGCCCCACAGACGGTGGGTCCGCGGGCACCAGTCACCTACCGTCGGAGGCCTCCGGCCCGGGCACAAGAAGTAGGAGATGAGTTTGTACGGGGACGCCGCCCGGACACGGAAAACCCCGAGGCCGGGCGGGCTCCGACCACGCTCAAGACCGGGCCTGGGGTTTCGCTGGGGCTTGGTTCCGGACGGGGCTAAGTCCGTACTTTCGCGGGTCCCGGGCCACGGAAACTCCGAACTCCCGGGCCGGTTCAGCTCCACCAACACCGAGACGGAAACAGCCGTGCAAGACAGGACCCGACTACAGCCGCGGGTGCGGCGCAGCGGAAGTACGTCATGGTCGATGCACCTGACGGAAACGGCTCCGGAAGAAAACTACACCTCCCAGAATCCTCTGCGGAGGGTCCCAGCTCCCTGGCCCGGCTTCCAGCAGAAGGCGGGTCTGCAGAGCAGGAGCTTGGTGGGTTAGCGTCGGTCCTGCCTGTGTCCCGGCCTCAGTGCAGGGACCGACTGCCTGAGGTCTGATGTCAAATAAGACAGGGTTCAGATCCAAGCGCATAGCAGTAAAGGACACTTTGTAAGGCCACAAGCTGCAGTTCCCAGGGTTATAGAAACAAGTCGAATAGCAGTACACGAAATAACAGCACCTCCATACAGGAGAAACTACAGTAGATGGAAAGAAATAAATAGAAGCGCACCAATAATAGATATGCATCTACTCCTGGTCCAAGATCAAAAAATTATCTCATAACAATACAATAAAACTATAATGGGGCTCCTGGCTCCTCCGACTGGTGGAGCAGATGACTCTTGACCTTGGGGGTGTGTGAGCCCCACTTTGGGTACAGAGATGACTAAAAAAATAAACTAAAAAACCCCCACACCTATGAATAGCATATTTTTAAAGTTTATTTTACTTATTTTGAGAAAGAGAGCATTGGAGGGGTAGAGAGAAGGGGAGAGAGAGAATCCTCAGGGCCGGATGCAGAGCTCGAACTCACAAACTGTGAAATCATGACCTGAGCCGAAGTCCAGAGTCATAGCAGAATCGACTGAGCCACCCAGGTGCCCCTGATTAGCATAATTTTAAAAGGTCTTTCTGCCTGAAAATCTTTCTTTAAAGAAAAGCTTTCTATTCAACAAATATTTGAATGAAATAGAGAAATAAAGACAAAAATGTAGGCATATAATTATGAATAAGACCTGGATTAAAGACTGTAGGATTAAGGACTCTGCATTTAGTTTTCTTAAATGACATAAAATATCAATCCAGATTGGAAAATTGGAAGATAGCCTAAGAAAGTTCTTATGTGGTAAGTTTATGTCACTCAGAGAACTGGCAGAGAATATATTTTCGGGACTTGCTAGAAATTTAATCTGCTTGGCAGTTTTATGAGTCTATAGGTAACTGAGTAGCTCTGGATTCAGATAGAAAAAGAAGATTAAATTGGAGGTAACTGAAATAAAGAGCTCAGGGCTTGGATTCTCAATTTAGACTTTTTTGGTATGTTGCATTTTGTTTTAATTGTTTTAATTTCAATCTATTGAGATTTATTTCGTGATCCAATAAAGACCCTATTCAGGAGAATGGGCCATGTGCACCTAAAGATGAGCATACTTAAAAGTCTTTAGATAGTGTTAAGAAAAATTAAACCAACTAAATTTTAAAGATCTAATGGCTTTCTTACTCAATTCATGAATCAGTCAACTTTCCATCTAACAGGTAGATGGGAGCTTCAAACGGCTACAGAAAGGGAAAGGTTTTAAAAGGCAGGACAAAGTAAGTCATAAACAGAAAAAAAAAAAAAGATTAGGTAAAGTCATCTTCATTTGAGGACAAAAGATGTTTAGTAGGTGGATTACCTCCTCTTCCTTTGGGAGATGAAAAAGGCTATGTAACAGATTAGCTTATTGGTACTGACCTATTAAGATGACATTTCTGGGAAGGTGAGACTGCATTAGGTTAGGCATTACAAGTGCCCTCATTGGGGGCTTGTGGTTTTCTCTTTAACAGTGTGGCCTCGAGATGTCCATTATTTTCCATCTTTTAGTTCTTGCTTATGTTGTCCGGTTGTTTGTCTTTATTTTTAACATATATTTTGCTTTCTTTTGGCCTATTTACTTGTTCTTTCACTAGGTTTTTGAGACTTTAATTTGCCTTTTTGGTGTTTATTGTTATAATTACTCAAGATTATGAGATTTCTGTCATCACTACTTTGTTTGTCCCATAAATGCTTACAGAATGTGGCTCTCTCTCCCTCCTCTCTGTCCCTCCTCTTTGCCCCTCCCCTGCTCACGCCCGCTCTCAAAATAAATGAACTGTAAAGAATGGTCTTATTTATTTTTGTTCCCAAGTTTGGAAACAGTATGCTCTCATTAGATATTGGATTGTTTGGTTAGTTTATATGGAATACAACTGGAATAACTATTTCTCCATTTTTGGAACTGTCTTTTTCATAATAATTTCTTCTTCTTTTCCCTCCTCCTCCTCCTCCTTCTTTTTCTCCTTCTCCTACTCTCCCTCTTTCACCTTCATTTTAGGTTAGGCCCCATACCCAACATGCGGCTTGAACTCACAATCCTGAGATCAAGAATCATGTGCTCAGGGACGCCTGGGTGGCTCGGTCGGTTAAGCATCTGACTTTGGCTCAGGTCATGATCTCACAGTTCATGGGTTTGAGCCCCATGTTGGGCTCTGTGCCGACAGCGAGCTCAGAGCCTGGAGCCTGTTTCGAATTCTGTGTCTCCCTCTCTGTCTCTGACCCTCCCCTGCTCATGCTGTCTCTCTCTCTCAGAAATAAAAAAAACATTAAAAATTTTAAAATAAAATAAAACCTCCTCTCTTGTTTAAAAAAAAAAAAAGAATCACGTGCTCCACGGATTGAGCCAGCCAGGTGCGCCCGTAATAGTTTCTTCTCAGTCTTAGCTTTTCTAGATCTTCCTTTCTATTTCTGTGCTCTTGGAGAATATCTACTATCTAAGTCTATTCCCTTAAGGGACTCAGCAAAGAATGAGACAAATTTATTTTTCTAACAGATTTATAAGCTAGCTAGGACAGTAAGTATGCATATGGAGTAGGGTGAATCTTGCAGGAAACAGACTTTACGCAGGTGGCATATTAGGGACCGCTCTCAGGACTGACCACTGCGCGGGAATGAAGGAAGCAGGACTGGACAGAAGGAAAAGTTCGACAGTGATGCTTTCACGACAGACGCCTCAACTAATTTCACAGAATCTCTGAAACTGGCCATTCAGAGATGAATAAAATTGAGGTAAAGGGGTGGGGACGTTTTCCCCTTATATTGACCAGTTTTTGGATAATCTTGGATGAGGCAGCTTCCTTCAGCTGAGGGCACATGCTTAAGTGACTGAGCCACACAGGTGTCCCCGTATCTGAGAGTTCTTACTTGAGATAAATCTTATGAGCACTTTAAATGTGAAAAAAAAAAACAAAAACTGTAGCTATAACACAGTTCTTTTTTTTCCTTCTAAGTTTACTTATTTTGAGAGAGAGAGAGAGCAAGCGAGCGCAGGGGAGGGGCAGTGAGAATCCCAACGGGGACCTGCAGTGTCAGTGCAGAGCCCAGATGGGGCTTGAACTCAGGAGCCATGTAATCATGACCTGAGCTGAAATCAAGAGTCGGACACTTAACCGACTACGCCACCCACGCGCTCCAGGTATGATGGAATTCTAACCCAACATCAGAACATTCAAACCGGAACCAAACTTTATGAAGATAATTCCTTCACATACAGAATAGACAATACGTAACATCGGATAATTTATGAGGTAGAAAATCTCTCTAAATGCAATGAATGTCAAAAGTCCTTTAATTGTTACTCACCTCTTATTGAATGCCAGGATATTTATGCTACATATAAAGCTTCTTTTTTGTTTTGCTTTGTTTTGTTTTGATTTATTTTGAGAGTGCGGTTGGGGGGGGCTGGGGCGTGCAGAGAGAGAAGGACAGAGGATCTGAAGCAGCCTCCACCACGCTGAAAGCAGCGAGACCAATGTGGCGCTCAAACTCATGAACCACAAGATCATGACCTGAGTTGAAGCTGGACACTCAACCGACTGAGCCACCCAGGTGCCCCAACATATAAAACTTCTGACTATATGTAATGTGGTAAGATTTTCAGTTACTACTCATATTAAACATCAGAGAATTCGTACTGAAGAAAGACCCTTTGAACCTAATGCGTGTAATAGTCTTTAGGCACCATTAAGACTTCATTACACATCAGAGACTTCTAAGCCAAGAGCCAGTTTTACACAAAAGAAACCAAGAGAACAAGTCCCAGCCCCATTCTAAAGAGCCCGAAGAACTAGATATGGGGGATTAACTAAATTGCCCACTTAAATGAGGAGAGCACTTGTGATGACTGGGTTTTGTATGTAAATGATGAATCGCTAGATTCTACACCTGAAACTGTTATACCGTATGTAAACAAACTGGAATTTGAATAAAAACTGGAAAAAAAGAAATTGCTTACTTAATTTAAAAAAGGCTTGTCTTTTTATTTATTTAGAGAGACAGGGAGTGTGAGCAGGGGGCAGGGGAGGCAGAGAGAGGGAGAGAGAGAGTCCCAAGCAGACTCCCTGATGTCAGTGCAGAGCTCAATGTGGGGCTTGATGTCGTGAACTGTGAGATCATGACCTGAGCTGAAATCAGGAGTTGGATGCTCAATGGACTGAGTCACCCAGGTGCCCCTTCTTTGCCTTTTAAAACACACTTAGCAGTTAATCCGGTTTACTTAGGAAGTCAACTGATTGCAAGAAATCAGTACCAAAGTAGGTTGGGTGAAAAGTGACCACAAATGTAACTGTCCGTTTTTGTCAACTCATCAGCAAATTGTGACCAGGTATCAGACTTCTCCCAGATTGAGCCACAAGGAACAATATAAAGGATAAGGGGTCTATAGCATATTGCATTTATGATATAATGAGTGTCTATGAGGAATCTGAACTGTAACTGGCTTCAGGGATGAAATAAACAGGAAGACTGACAATCTGCTGCAGGGGCCATCTTGCTCTGCTGGTCCTGGGAATAAGCTGTACACTTCACGCATTATTTGTTCCTGAACATTTCCTAAGAATCTTCAGTGAGGCTTCCAGCTAGCACAGTTTTCCAGTTATTTCATAATTATGTCTTTTTACTTGAGACCAAAATCAACAACTTGGAGATTCAATATTGACTGTTGATAACAATAGCATTCGTGGGAAGTTAAGAAATATAACATGTACATTATGTACATAGTAAGTATAGTCTGTAAGTAATAACTATAAATTTATTGAATGGAAGCCTACATGGCACATTCATTATAGTGATTACCTCAGGAATGGTGGAGAGGAGGAAAGAGACTAACAGGTCTAGAGAACTGAATATGTAATGCTTTACTTTTTTTTTTTTTTTTGGAAGTTTAATTAAATTAGTGCTTTCAGCATCTTTTTTTTTTTTACAAATAGTTTATTGTCAAACTGTAATGCTTTACTTTTTAATTAAACAAGGATCTGAATCAAATGTTACCAATATGAATATTTGATCATTTGACTTTATATTCTTCTCTGCACTTTTGTGTATTTTTAAAATATTCTCAATTTAAGCAAACAATATTGGTGACAGTTTTAGGATATCTAATGGTAACTTTTATGATATTATTGAGACATTTATTTTTTTTTAAATGTTTTATTTATTTCTGAGAGAGAGAGGGAGAGAGACAGTGTGAGCAGGGGAGGGTCAGAGAGAGAGGGAGACACAGACTCTGAAACAGGCTCCAGGCTCTGAGCTGTCAGCACAGAGCCTGACGCGGGGCTGGAACCCACGAACCGTGAGATCATGACCTGAGCCGAAGTCGGACGCTTAACCGACTGAGCCACCCGGGCGCCCCGAGACATTTATTTTTAAATGTATCTCAACACTTCTGTATGAGTTTTTAAATTTTTTAAAATACGAGTAATAATTAATACTAGTACTAATTTTTAATTTTTTAATGTTTATTTTTGAGAGAGAGAGAGAGAGAGACAAAGCACAAACGGGAGAGGGGCAGAGAGAGGGAGACACAGAATCCAGAGCAGGTTCCAGGCTGTGAACTGTAGCTCAGAGCCCAATGTGGGGCTCAAACCCACAAACTGTGAGATCATGACCTGAGCCAAAGTCAGACGCTTAACCAACTGAGCCAGGTGCCACTGTATGAGTAAATTCTTTAGAAATACAGTCTAGATAGAATTTCATTTAAAGATTTTTCAGTATCCATTGAGATGATGATGCATGTTTCTCCCTTTAATCTTTAATATGGTTAATTACATTAGTAGTTTATAAAGTCCCCCATGACTTCTACTTAGTTGTGATATATATTTTTAAATTTAGTGCTTGATATCATTCACTACTTTTTCAGAATTTTCACATAAATATCAGAACTCAGATTGCTTTATAGTTTTTTTTTTAAATGTTTTATTTATTTTTGAGAGATAGAGAGATACAGACAGCATGAGCAGGGGAAGGTCAGAGAGAGAGGGAGATAGAGAATCTGAAACAGGCTACAGGCTCTGAGCTGTCAGCACAGAGCCCGACGCGGGGCTCGAACCCACCGAGATCATGAGATCACCACCTGAGCCGAAGTCGGATGCTTAACCGACTGAGCCACCCAGGAGCCCGTTTTTTGTTTTTTGTTTTTTGTTTTAAACTTTTGCCTGGTTATGGCGTAAGTATTTTGCTACCTTTGTGTTAGGAAAGACTTCCCTTCTATCTAGGTTTTTCTGGAAATTGGTAAGAATTATGTCCTTTGATAGTGTGAAGGTTTCAGATTCACCCATTAAAACATCTGAGCCTGGAGCTGAAAGCATGTTAACACTGGTTTTAGTTCTACAAGGATATTATTTTAAATTAGTTACCTAACTATTCCTTTAAATCATGTACTTCATTAGGTTCCAAATTTACTAGCATACTACAGAGACTTGAATAAAATATTCTTTTACAAGTATTTAAATTTTTTTAGTTTATTTTTTTCTAAAAGTGTTTTTAATTTTAGTGGGGGGGAGAAAGAGAGAGAGAGAGAGAGAGAGAGAGAGAGATTGAGACGCGCACAGAGCACCAGACAGAATCCAAGGCAGGCTTCAGGCCGGGAGCCTCAGCACAGAGCCCAACGCGGGGCTCAAACCCTGAACCATGAGATCATGACCTGGGCTGGTCAGAGGCTTAGCCAACGGAGCCACTCAGCAGTCCCTAGTTTATTTGTTTTTTTAAAGTAATCTCTATACCCAACATGGGGCTGGAACTCACCAGTGCAGTGGCATGCTCCTCTGAGCAGCCAAGGCACCTCATAAATTTGTTTTTTATGGCTACTTCTATTTTCTTTTTTTTTTTTTAATTTTTTTAATGTTTTTTATTTTATTTCTAGGAGAGAGAGAGACAGCGTGAGCAGGGGAGGGTCAGAGAGAGAGGGAGTCACAGACTGAAACAGGCTCCAGGCTCTGAGCTGGCAGTCAGCACAGAGCCCGACGCGGGGCTCGAACCCACGAGCCGCGAGATCATGACCTAAGCGAAAGTCGGACGCTTAACCGACTAAGCCACCCAGGCGCCCCAAGCTACTTCTATTTTCTTGTTACCAGCTGTTTCTGCTATTCCTCCCCACTTGCTGATAAAAGTTTCTAGTGATTTTATATTTTATTTAAAAAACCTGACTTATCAAGTTTTTGCTATTTTAATCCCTTAACTTCTGATTTTATATTCGTTAATTTCCCCCTTTCCACAATTACATTTTGTTTCTCCCTAAAGTCCTCATTTCATTTATTTTCATTACTTTGGTCAGCGCTGAACCGATTGTACTAGAAGTTTTACCTGTTTCACTTTGATTTTGTAAATGACTTTGCTTTAGCATCAAAAATGTAAAGGTACAGAAGTTTCCTCCCGGGGACACACTTCCGCGAAGCCCCAGACACATTTTGAGGAGAGCGGCCCCCCCTAGAGCTCAGACCCACGAACCGTCCGGCAGCTCGGCGAGGATTTCCACCGGAAACCCCCCACCTGCCAATCAGGGGAGGTGCGCCGCAGAGCCGTCTGGGAGATGTCGCTCTGGGGCAGGCGGCACCCTGGGAAACGTAGTTCTGCGCGCACATTCCGAGGTGGGCCGCGTGAGTGTCGGCGCTGCGGCCCGAAGCTGGAGGGTGTGTCGGGGTAGGGGCGGCCTCGCGGGGCTGCGGGGCTGGGGCGGCCTTGGTGTCTGCGGGGGCCCCGCGGTGACCCCGACGCGCGCACGAACTGGCTCCGGAGCCGGGTGCGACGAGGGCCCGGGGCGGGAGCGGGCGAGGTTGTGGGGGCCACGCAGCGCAGGCGCCGGTTCCCCGCGGGTGGGGCGGGGCGGTTCTGGGGGAGCTTTAGCGAATTGGGGGCGCGTAGGGATGGGAGGGTGTGGCGGGCGGAGGATGTGGGTGTCCGGAGGGAGATGTGGGGGTCTGGTGGGGCCGCCTGTGGTGGTAAGTGATGAAGAGGCTTTGAGGGAGACGGTGGAGCTCTCTAATTCGGGGGCCACTGAAGGGTCACGGTATTGGAGTATGTGTGATAAATCAGTGAGCCGGGGCTTGGGGCGGACGGGTGGTTGTGAAGCCGGCGGAGGGAATTGAGTGGGTGATGGGGCCCCGTTGGGAGCGGCATTGGGCTGAGGTCTAGAGTCGCGGGCTTGGCAGTTCTGGGGATGAGGGACAGGGATCGGGAGAGAGGGGGGCCCCTGAGGCCGCATGTGGAGACCCTGGAGGGCGAGTGTGTGCCGTCGGGGATTTGGTTTTCGGGAGTAATTAGGACTCTGCTGATCAGTGACTTAGATGTCTGGGTTGGCGAGCGGCCCCAGGGTGGCTGAACATAAGGCCTTTGTGGAGGTCTGTTTGGGGGAGCTCAGAATTGGCGGACCGAGGATTTCTTCGACTGGAAGGCCAATGAGTTTGTGATAGTGTTGGATCGTACCGGGGCTCCTGGGAAGCAGGAAGGTTAAGAACTCTCACACCCTGTCCTGTTCCAGGAACCGCTTGCTGCAGAGTAGCCCCTTCTCCGGACGACCACGTAACACCTGCCGCCTTGGCCGATGACAGGGCCTGAGTGCAATCCTCCAAACTCCCATCCTTTACCCCATCAGCGATTAGACGGACTGTAGTCACGCCTCCCCCCCATCAGTCAGATGGTTGTTATCCAGATGTGGAGTTAAGCCTCTTTCTGTCCGCCCCCAGCCCCTGAACTTTGATTCACTCCCAGCTTGAGCAGCTTTGGCACAACCCCTCCCCCCCCCCTCCGCCCCAAAGAACTGTCCCCCTCTGATCTACTTACTCTCTGATCACCCTGCCCTTACCTTCCACATACCTGGTTCTTCTGACCTTGTATATCCCTTTCTGTGAAAGAAACCACGTAGGTCTTTTTGCGTTGTGTAGATGCTTGCATCTCTTTGCATCAACAGTGTTCTCCCGGGTGTAATAGCCCCAGCTTCCTGCAGTAATTGTGGAATGAAATATTTCCTTAGATTCTATCTGACAGTTCAGTGGTAACTGTTTGGATGGAGGGGGATGACTGGCGTGGCCTCTGCTGGTGAATGGTCTGTGCCTGTGTTTGGGAGATTTTGTGATTGGGGCATCAGGGACTGGGGCACTGTGTGTCGTGACAAGGTCTGGATACAAGTTGATGGGTGGCCTGTTAGGGGTTGTGAATGAGCAGACGGTGTGGGTAGTAACTGGAGTCATTAGAGGTAGCAGGGTATCAGGACAGGCACAGCTAGTGGCTCGTTGAGGTGATGATTAGGATTTGTAGGGGTGCTAGTGAATGGTGGGTGAGCGTGGGGTTGACTAGAAAGTGGGGCATCATGGAAGTGAGTGGCTGGGGTCCCTGTGTGATTACTGATTGGACAGCCCCTGGGTTTGGTGATGGGGGGCAGGGAGCTCTTTGAGAACCAGTGATCGGGAGACTGTTAAGGTGAATGGATGGGTGGCTGTAGGAGGGAGGAGTTGGAGTTCTGTAGGGTCCTTTGGGACTCTGTTTAGTATTTCACTGACTCTTTTCCTTGTCAATGGATAGACTCTGCTGAGGTTACTGGATGGCAGTGTGGGGGAGCCCGGGATGGGTTTCTTTGCATTAGTGTTTAGAAGCCTGTGGCAATCAGCGATAAGAGGCTGTGCTGTCATATTCAGTCAAGTCTTCCATCAGTTCTCTTAATCACAAAGCGGGAGACATTCAAGGTTCTCAGGAGATGATGCCAGAAGCTGACGTACAGGGTCAGGTGAAGGCTGAGCAGTGTTCAGATGTTTGTTTTCTGCTGCCTGCTCACTGTCTGCACAAGGCATGGGCTTTGCTGACTGAGTAGCACAGGCTTCCTGAGCATGTGGTGATGAGAGCAGCTTTGTCTCGTCTGTTTCCAACCCTCGGCCCAACTCGGGGTGGGTAGTAATTGCCTCGAAGAGGCTGGTCTGGCCCCACTCTTGTTAGCTGCCATGGGGCAAAACCTGGCAGTTTGCTAACATCCAAGCAAAACTTTCTATCTTCACATGCAGCAGATTTTTCTCTATGTTCAGTGGGACATTGAAGACACTCTCACCTGTTCTTTACTGGAACAGCGCCTTTAAACAAAGAGCTCTTGCTCTAAATCTTCTACAGGTACGATATTCAGTTTATTTGCTGGAAAGGTGTCACTGACCAGTCCACCGTGTCCAGTCTTCCCAACTAGCCTGTCAGCCTCTGGAGACCAGACTGGGAGCACTGGGGGCTTAGGTGGTCAGCAAACGTTCCTGGACCACAGGTGCTAGACACATCTCTTTTGGCAGGGTTGCTGTGAAAGTTGGAATTTGTCCCTCATGCCCCCACGGTTACAGGGTACTGTGATTTTTGGACATTTTGGACATTTCCTTTTAGGTGTATTCTTAACAAGGAAATAACATCTCTTTGTGACCTCACGCTGTGAAGTCCCTGGCTCTGATCTCATATCTGGTTGAATGTAAGTGACCTGGTCCTTGAGCAGTGAAGGAATTCAAAGTGTAAGTATGTGTATGCATCAAGATGTAGTATTTTTTGTTTATTATACTAATCAGAAATTTTGATTCATTTGTTCCAATAATTCTGCTTAAGATACCTGTTATGTGTCTTTTAAAGCTTTTGTAATAGTGATTGTACTCAGTTATCTGGTTATTTGGTCTGTTGGGGAAATAATTAAAACCCAAATCTGCCAAACCCCAAATCTCACAAAAGCAGAAGAAAAAGAAAAACAGTGTTATTGTTGATTGAATTAAACTGGAATGCAATGAGCTTCACAGACAACCTGCTAAAGAGATTGCAAAGCCAGAAAGAAATCTCCCTCTTTTCTCCAGTCAGGCAGGTAGAACCCATGCACATGTGTTCTCAAGGTAAATGGTAATGTGGCGCATGCAGTCCATGCTAAATTTACCTGGCACTTGGGTGGCCATTTGTGTTAGCTAATTGCCTTTATCGAAAGGGAAAATAGACTTTTATGTTTGTGACAGGACTGCAGCCGGGCGTCAGGTGCCAAAGTCAAGCACTTGGTCAGGCCCCTGCCCTTCCTAAAATTGGGAAATAGGGGTGTATTGTCCCTATGATTTCAAAGAGATGGCTCCTAGGTCCTTAAGAAAGATGTTTTGGGGTGGGAAACTGGACAAGGCTTATTTAACTGTAGAAGAGATTTACATGCATCTCAAAGGAACAGAGTGTATAGTTAGGGGTTTTCTAAAGTAACTGCTCTTCAAATAAGAGTCAGGGGAGTCTTTTTCCCTTTTTTTGTATGAGGGAGAATTTTTTTTTTCTTAATTTTATTTTGTACTTGCCCTTACTGGGCTCTGAGCGCATACTCTTCTGGAGTGTTAGCTGCTCTCCCAAGCTCTGTGGTAGTTTGCACTGGGGGAGGGCTGAGGCCAGGCCTGGGGAGCGGAGGGGCACCAGGGCCAGCACCGTGGACCCTACAGAACACTGGACAGCGCTGTGTCCCTCCACCCCCTCAGCCACTTCCTGCCATCAGGCGTCGGAGACCCTGAGAAGCAGACTGTGGACAGTGTCCTTGGGGTACGGAGGGCTGTGGGAGATGAGGAAGGGCAGCCATTGTCACCTCTGTGGCCCTTTCACTCTGCAGGCATTTTGATCTTGGAAGCTGGCCTGGGCTGTTGCTGCTGGCGTCTGAGGGAAAGGGCAGGCGGGATTTGCCCTGGCGTGAACCAAAAAGCCTGCACCGTGGGGAAGGTGTCCTCACACCTCCTCACTGCCGGTGAACTGGGCTCCAGCCCGGCCCAGCTCAGCCACAGACCCCCGCAGGAGCCTGGGTCTTCCCCCAGGGCCTCTCTTCTGTTTACTGTTTCTGTTAGTTCCTCTGATCTAGGCTTTCCCTTCGCTGCAGGGCTGGTTTTGGGGTAGGAAGCCAGCACCCCCGGCTACTTCACCATCTTAGTCTAACAGCCATTTTCCCTTTACCATCCTGCCTAGAAAGGAGTTGCATTTTACTCTGTAGCACGTGTGCTCCCAGGAAGTAATGCTGCAGAACGAGTGAGCCGCGGTTATGTTCCTGGACTTTGTTGACTTCCACAGAGCATTTGGTGGGGTGATGCTCCTCTGGGGATGTTTGGCCAAACCAGTGAGGCGAGTGGCTTTCAGGTGGCGCTTCCGGCTGGGGGCCAGGGCTGCAAGTGCGGTGTGTGGTGCAGACCTGGCCCGGATGCGGTCAGGCCCAGCTGAGACTTCCACCCTGTTTCCTACCCACTAGTGCTGATTGGAGGTGTCAGGAAGAGAGAACCCAGAGAGGGTCCCGAATTAATGACATCACGTAAAATAAAATTCCCACTGCTTCTCCAGGCCGTGGCCCCGAGGAACAAGAGAACTCTTGTGAGATGAGAAGGAAGAGGCCTTGGGACTAGGGGTACGTTCTCAGTTCACAGACATTTGACCAGCGGCCTCGCTCCAGTGCATCAGAACAGAGCAGATTTTCCAAGCAGCTGAAAATGATCAAGTCACAGGTGAGTTACATGTTTATTCTCTAGCAGTTTTTATATGCAGATATGAGAGGCTTATAGGAACGCTGTAAATACATTTCAGTCATAATCAGAAAGTATAAACTTGGGAAAGAAGATGTCAGAGAAGAATGAAGTAGATTATGGAATCATAAAAGTCCTAAAGTTGAAGCATGGATGTACAAGAAATAAGGTGAACTGCGGCTGTGCTCAGAGGTTCCCGGAAGTGGAAACCGGAAGGGAAGCGGGAATAGTTACATGGTCTCCTTTGACAAAAGGCAGACTACTCAGGAGAAGCAAACCTTTGTTGATGATTATTTACAAAGAAACTACTTGGACAGCTATTGATGTGGATGAGAGAGTGGACAAAATCATAATAGCAACCCTATAATAAACGTGTGTTTTATTGTTTCCCAGTGCTGTTTCTTACAGAGTTCCTCAGTGCGAACTCAGGGCATGAATCTGAAGGAGAGCTCAGAACACAGAAATAGTGGGCCAGGATATCCATCTTACCTGTGATCCACTTTTAGGAAAGAAACCTAAATCATCTGGCAGAATTTGCCATTACAAAACTTTCAAATGGCCCCCATATTCTCTCAGTTGGAATTTTGATACATTTTAGATAGCAGTGTCTTTCCTTCTGTTGGCAAAAGCAATCTCTCTTTAGCTCTTTTTACTTTTTTGACTCAAGAAATGGAGAGTGTCACGAAGGTTGGGGTACACATGTCAGAAGCGCAACCCCAAAGGGCACGTGTGTTTCTCCCGGAAACAATTTACAGTGGATAAATTGCCCCAAGCACAACCGGCCCCCAGCATGGCTTTCCACTGTGGGCCCTTCTGCCCTGTGCCTTCTAGTCAAGTCTGAATAACGTAGTTTAGTCTTGGTTTTAGAGGGACTATTTGGGGCATTTAATTCCAAATGGCTTTGTCCACGACCCCAGTTTATTAGTCCACACTTATTAGATGTGGGCAACATCTGGGGATGTTCTTCCTGGAAAGTGCAGGAACTGAGGCTGTCGTCTGCTGTCTCCGTCAGCCCTGTCAGGAAGGCATCTGCGCCAGCTCAGCAGTCAGTCTAAATCCAGAGATTTCGCACAAGCTTGGAAAGGCAGCACCAGGAGCTGTGTCTCTTGCTTTATGTTTTTTCCAGGAGGAGGAGGGAGCTTTTAGGAGCAAGTCTGAAGAACAAAGATCATTCATGTACTTCTCCACCCCCATGCTTTCCAAGGTGCTAGCTTGATTTTGTTTTTGTTTTTCTGTTGTGAGTATCAGTGTACCCCATTTAGTAATCAAAACTTTTTATTTATTTTAAATTAATTTTTTTTTTATTTTAGAGAGAGCGCATGCACAAGCAGGGGAGAGAGGCAGAGGGCAGAGAGAGAGAGGGAGAGAGAGAGGGAATCCCAAGTAGGCTCCATGCTCAATGCTGGGGCTTGATCCCACAGCCATGAGATCATGACCTGAGCTGAAATCAAGAATCAGATGCTTTATTGACTGAGCCATCCAGGCACCCCCAAAACTTTTAAAAAGCTTATCTGTGGAGCACCTGGGTAGCTCGGTTAAGCGGCTGACTTCAGCTCGGGTCATGATCTCGCAGTTTGTGAGTTTGAGCCCCGTGTGGGGCTCTGTGCTGACAGCTCAGAGCCTGGAGCCTGCTTCCGATTCTGTGTCTCCTTCTCTCTCTGCACCTTTCCTGCTTACCCTCTGTCTCTCTGTCTCTCAAAAATAAATAAACATTAAAAAAAAAAAAGCTCATCTGTTTTCATCCAGACCCTTTGTCTGGAAAGGGTGTATGCAAGAGGTACAGACATTTTTATCTAACCTAACCAGAAAGATGCTTCCTGTTTAAGAATTGGCTAGGAAAAACTCCAGAATTTTGAAAAGATTTTAAAATGGTTTTTACATAATCTCACACTCATTAAATCTTCAGGAAGAGGTCATAGGGGATGGAAGGCTTTTGCTGTGTCCCTCATGGAGCCTAAGGTCTCAGTAACTGTAGAAGATGGGTGCATACGTGAAGACAGCCTGGTCAAACATATGGCAGCAAAGAGAAGTGTCCTTTGAGGATTTACTGCACTGGGGCCCCAGGATGCCTGAGCTGTGTAACGCGGGCTGGGGCTATCTTGACTCCTCCTATCAGTCACATAAGTCCATCCTTAATTGTCCATTGACACAACTGTATGGCTCATCTGGTGCTGTTCTCAGATGCAGTGAATCTGGGGAACCGCAAAAGGGGAAAAAACGTGGTCTTGTACGACCTGGATAGTGTGGCCCAAGTCAGTGGAACCCAGACTTGAAGAGAGCGCCAGCCGCGCTCCGAGCCCAGTGAAGCCCTCTGGCCAGGGCAGAAGGCCCGACGTGAGCTACCTGTCAAGAGCGTCATGGCCCGTCGGCACAGGAACCTGTCCCTGGGCAGCGTTTCTAGCCATGACCAGCATGTGGAAGGCCGGACATGTTTTCCAGGCTTTTTAGCCTCTTCTAGTGGCATGGGCGGCACGTGCACAGGCCCCACTGAGGACGACATCTGAGTCTCCACAGGCCAGCCCCTTCCGGGTTCTGGTGGCGATTAGTTGCGTATTGGAGTGCTTTGTGGTGGCGGCCGTTAGAATGTCCATGTTTGGTTAGCGGGGGCGTCTGTTGGTCAGTGTAGGGGCCTTGTTACTGGGCATCCACGTGGGTAACAACAAGCTCATTAGGAGCTTAGCCAGTTGTCTCGGGCAGCAGGAGGGCTTGGAGGTGCCCGCCTGAGGCTCCAGCCCCAGAGGCAGGTGGGGTCACCGTCCCGTATTCCCTGCAGTAGCAGCCGTGGCTGCTCCGCCTGAGCTCCTGGGGGCAAAGGCTGGTCCGAGTGTACGGAGACAGGACGTCAGGTTCGGTAGGGGACCCGGGTCACGGTCCGCCTGTACTGCCGCGTGTGGTGCGGGGAGGGCGCTGCCCCCGTAAGGCCTGGCAGGTGAAGCCTTTGTAATCGCCTGTGGTTGGGCCTGAGAAATCCCATGTTTTAACTGGGAGCCTGACCCCTCGGGAGTTTAAGACGTGCCTAAATTAACGTGATAAACATCCTAGTGAGGACTTGGAACAGCGCCAGCTCTCCGCAGCAATTCCCCGAGTCTCACCTCCATGCATCCCTAACCCCCGGCAGCAACTCACCTGCTCCTGTCACTGCAGTTTTGCTTTTTCCGGAATGCCATAGAATGGAATCCTTAGCATACAACCTTTTGATACTGCCTTTTTTCACTTGTGTCTTTGAGATCCATGTTGTTTGAATCAATAGTTGGTTCCTTTTCCTGCTGAGCGTGGTCACCGAGTCGTGCCCCACTGTATGAACACGCCAGTTTGGTTACCCTTTCACTTTTGTTTTCTTTTTTTTTTTTTAATGTTTTATTTATTTCTAGGAGAGAGAGAGAGAGAGAGAGGGAGACAGCGTGAGCAGGGGAGGGTCAGAGAGAGAGGGAGTGACAGACTGAAACAGGCTCCAGGCTCTGAGCTGGCAGTCAGCACAGAGCCCGACGCGGGGCTCAAACCCACGAACTGCGAGATCATGACCCAAGCGAAAGTCGGACGCTTAACCGACTAAGCCACCCAGGCACCCCACCCTTTCACTTTTCAAGGGCTTCTTGGTTGCGTCCAGTTTTCAGCGGTTGTGTTTATGTGCATACAGATTTGAGCATAAATCTTGAGGTGAGTAGAAGTTCTCAGTGTACTTGGGCACGTACCTGGGAGTAGGATTGCTGGGTTGTGTAGTCAGTCTGTTCAACGCCAAAGCATCTTCCAGAGCCACTGCCGTTTTGGCATTTGCAGCTTCACGGCCTGAGAGCTGTTGCTCTGGATCCTCACTGGAATCTGTCACGTTTTGTGTGGTTGTTGTTGTTTTTTATTTTAGCAATTCTAAATAGGTTTGTAGTAGTGTCCCTTTATAGTTTTAATTTGTATTTCTCTGTTGACAAATGATGTTGAACATATTATCTGTACATCTTTAGTAAAGTGTTAAGATCTTCTGTCCATTTTTTGGTTAGTTGACTTTTTTTAAATGAGAGGGGTTTTTTTTGGTTTTGTTTTGTTTTTAAATTTTAATTCCACTATAGTTAACATACAGTGTTAGTTTAGTTTTGGGTGTACAATACAGTGATTCAACATTTCCATATATCACCTGGTGCTCATAATGATGAGTGTGCTCTTAATCCCCATCATCTGTTTCCCCCATCCCCTACCTGCCTCCTCTCTGATGACCATCAGTGGGTTCTCTACAGTTAAGAGTCTGTATCATGGTTTGCCCCCCCTCCTTTGCTCATTTATTTTGTTTCTTAAAATCCACATATGAGTGAAATCAGGTGGTATTTGTCTCTCTCTGATTTAACTCACTTAGCTTCATCCACATTGTTGCAAATGGCAAGATTTCATTCTTTTTCACGACTGAATAATATTCCATTGTATACATACCACATCTTCTATACCCGTTCATCTACCGATGGACACTTGGGCTGCTTCCACATCATGGCTGTTGTAGGTAAAGCTGCTATGAATGGGGTGCATATATTCCTTTGAATTAGTGTTTTTGTATTCTTTGGATAAATACCCAGTAGTGCAGTTATTGGAGGATAGCTCTGTTTTTAACTGCTTGAGCAACCTCTTATACTATTTTCCACAGTGTCTGTACCAGTTTGAATTCTCACCAGCAGCATAAAAGGGTTCCCCTTTTTCTGTAACATTGCCAATACCTGTTGTTTCTTGTGTTGTTAATTTTAGCCATCTGACAGGTGTGATTTGTATTTCCCTGATGATGAGTGATGTTGAGCATCTTTTCCGGTGTCTGTTGGCCATCCACATGTCTTTGGGAAAATATCTATTTATATCTTCTGCCAATTTTTTAATTGGATTGTTTGTTTTTTGGCTGTTGGGTTGTATCAATTCTTTATATATTTTGGATACTAACCATTTATTAGATAGGTCATTTGCAAATATCTTCTCCCATTCTGCAGGTTGCTTTTTAGCTTTGTTGATGGTTTCCTTTGCTGTGCAGAAGCTTTTTATCTTGGGGGTGCCTGGGTGGCTTAGTCGGTTAAGCGTCCGACTTTCGCTTAGGTCCTGATCTCCCGGTTCGTGGGTTCGAGCCCCGCGTCGGGCTCTGTGCTGACTGCCAGCTCAGAGCCTGGAGCCTGTTTCAGTCTGTGGCTCCCTCTCTCTCTGACCCTCCCCTGCTCACACTGTCTCTCTCTCTCCTAGAAATAAATAAAAACATTAAAAAAAAAAGAGAGAAGCTTTTTATCTTGATGACGTCGCAGTAGTTCATTTTTGCTTTTGTTTCTCTTGTTTCAGAGACAGCCATTTTTTAATTCTGTTGTTTTCTTATTGTTGAGTTTCACGAATTATTTATTCAGATACAGATTGTAAGGTTTTTTAGGTGAGTAAAAAAAGACTCCAAGGCAAAAGGCTCCGCAGAAGGAGTTTTATTGCCTGCACCCTCGGCCAAGGCGAGAGAATATACGGGACCAGTTTTATTGCCCGCAGCCCCGGGTGAGGTTCCGTGACTCCAGAGAGAGAGGGGAGTCGGGGAAGTCACGCCGAGGCCAGGTGGTGAGGGTTTTTTAAAGCCTGTTAGTGCGGGTGGGGGAAGTCCGGAGAATAGAGGCGGTCTCTTGGCTGAAAAGTTCCGGGCGGAAGGTCAAAATAAATAAATATTAAAATAATAATAATAAATACGTAGCTTTAGGTTTGGTTTTGACAGTAACCAAAAAATATTACTGTCATTTTGCATGTAGAGGCCAGGCATGCTGAAGGTCTTACACTGGATGGGTCTCAGCTGAGAACTGTTCCCAAATACTCAGTAGTACCTTCTTTGGGAAGCATTGTGATTATTTAAATACAACCTGTTCCAAATTCCTATGTAATGAATAGATGGATGGATAGACAAGTGAATTCATAATGATAAATATTTTAACAACATTTTGCATCTCTCTCAAAGTATAGTGCAAGTTTAGGGTATTATGTTAGTTCTCAACTGCTATGTAACAAATTACCCCAACCTCGAGGGCTAAAAACATCAGCACTTATCTCAGTTTCTCTGGGTTAGAAATTTGCCAGATGCGATGAAATTTGGTTCCCAATCGGGGTCTCCTACAACGCTGTGCTCAAGATGTTGGGAAGGGCTGAGGTCCTTTCAGAGTGCAACAGGGAGGTGACCCCCTTTCAAGCTCATTCATATGAGAGCTGGCAGGCCTCAGTGCCTGGCCACCTGGGCTTCTCCACAGGCCTGCCTCCTGGCATGGCAGCTGGATTCCCCCTGAGAGCAAGGAGGGTTCCCCAGATGGAAGTGGCATTCTTTTGTGACCTCACCTCAGAAGTGACATCCCATCGCTGTTGTGTTCAGCAAAGGTGAGTCAGTAAGTGCAGTTCACACTCAGGAGGGAAGTGTGACACAGATGCACGAGGACCAGGAGCTAGGGGTCCCTGGGGCTGCCCGCTAGTAGGGGTCCCTGGGGCTGTCGGCCACTCTGGAGAAGAAAGCCTGTATTCTGCATGGAGCCTGTTCAGATTTAACAGCAAAACCACTTCTCTAGATCTCGTTTGAGGATGTGGCCGTGGACTTCACGTTGGAGGAGTGGCGGCTACTTAACCCAACTCAGAAGAACTTGTACAGAGACGTGATGCTGGAGAACTATAGCAACCTAATGTTCTTGGGTAAGAGTGATCTTGTGTAAATGGTGTGTATCCAGTAACTGTGGGGTGTAGAAGGGGTTTACTGATGTTGGATTTAAGTTACAGATTTCAAGGATTGTTTGATACCCAAGCGAAAGATTTTAGTTCCCTTGGTTTATTTTCTAGCCTTTGTGGTAAATACTCTTCACATTTAAGAGTCCGTCAGCCCAAGCAATTGGGTCCAAGTTGTCTGTTTTTCTAATTAATAGGTTATCAAATTATCAAGCCTGATGCAATTTTCAAGCTGGAGCGGGAAGAGCCATGGATAATCGATGAGGTTCTAAGTCAGAACTTTTCAGGTGAGAGGTAATCAGGTGTATGGCAGACAGTAAAACTTGAATTGTTATTCAAAAGTTAGTTTGAAATATTACTTATAAAACTGTTTGAAATTCCTAGATCTTTAGAATTGGCTCAGGGCTGGTGACATGAGTTCTTCCTGGGTTTTAATGTCTCTCTGTCCTGGTCTCCACATCAGGATGTGTCCTCTTTGCACGGAGCTGATGGTGGCACGTACCCCCTTTCCTATACAGCGGCACAAGTTGGTGGCCAGCATTTAGGACCTTGCTTTCTGGGATAAGGATCTTCTTCCCAGCTTCCTCGGTCTCCTTTGCCTTCTCTCCTGCACTTCCAGCCTGCAGGGGTAGGCTTCTTTACTCATAACTTTTTAAGAATTCATAAATTTTTCCTGTTAAAGGAACAATGATTGAGTCCATCCCTCTCATTTGTCCCTCTAATTGGTCAGATTTCTGTTTTAAAGCCATAGAGAGCAGCTGGTAAATCCGGGGATATGGAATAAAAAATTAACACTGTGAACCTGGTGAGGGGGCTCTGCCTCTCTCCCTCCTCCTTGCAGACTAAGCCTGTGCAGTCAGCTCCCGGGGCACTTTTTGGTGACTTTGATGTTCGTCTTCTCCAAGCCCCTCATTCAGCCCGTCGTCTGCTGGGCTTAAGACTCCATGTGCCATGTGATATTTAAACTACATTTATATTGAAGAACCTCATGATATAGCAACATCTTACCCAGTTTTGTTTTGTTATTTTCTGTGCCCAGAAGTCAGGGTTAACTCCATTAGAACTAGTTTCTTCCTTCACGTGTTTACATACAGTTTTCTGTGCATGTGAGCCATTAATTATCATATCTTCTTCACATAGTGTCCCTTTCTGCAGGTTGAGCCCTTTTTTACCTCCAGCAACTATTGACTTCCAGCCTTTCTGAAGTCTCTGCCCATGTAGTAATGTATTATAGGAACCCTGGCCCTGGTCAGACATTATCTGGAATTTTTTTTTTTTTTTTTAATTTATTTCTAGGGGAGAGAGAGACAGCATGAGCAGGGGAGGGTCAGAGAGAGAGGGAGATACAGACTCTGAAATAGGCTCCAGGCTCTGAGCTGGCGGTCAGCACAGAGCCCGACGCAGGGCTTGAACCCACGAACTGCGAGATCATGACCTAAGCGAAAGTCGGATGCTTAACCGACTAAGCCACCCAGGCGCCCCTATCTGGAATTTTTTAAACAATTAGATCTTACAGATTTTTTCCCTACGTAGAAAGATGGCAAATAACTTTTTCTCTGCTGTCTGTAGGATTCATGGTGTGTACTGATGAAATGTTTCATTAATTGACTGTTGTGGGGCCAGGTAAGGCAGGACCTTTCTTGTCGATCAAATATTTCTTCAGTGCAAAGGTCTTCATCTAAGCAAGTGTCTCAGCTCACCTTCAGAAATATTTCAAATTATGGATCTCTAGGTACCATTCACATGGATTATTAGGTCTGGGTATATGTAGCCTAGAAACTACTACCTGTGAGGATAGATTTTATGTTCACCACTAATTTAGAACAGCTGGTGTTAGAATGAGAGGAATTGAGGAGAGTAGCCAGGAAATAGCCTCACCAGGACCAGAGAATTTTAATGTAGAAGAAAATGCAAAACTGTATTTGTTTGATAGTTCAATATCAAACACGAAGCATTTGTATTAAAATGCAAAGTTAATTATCAAGATTAATGGCACAGAAAGGAACTGCTTTAGAAGTCTAGGTATGAGTGAACAGTACTGATCTTACATGCATCGAGTGCTTGCTATGTGGTGTGTCGTGGGGGTAATCCGTGAAAAATACCAGCCTGTCCCTTGCCATCAGGGTTTCCATTCCAGTGGGGAACACAGAAGTAGGGTGATTACCTGTTTGGTAAGAGCTATGAAGGAAAGAAACCAGGATATTGTTAGTATGCCCTTGAAATGATGTTTACACTTAAAGGAGCCAGGCTTGCTGAAAACTGGGAAGAGCATGTCAAATAAAACAACAGTACATTAAAGGTCCTAAGGCAGAAAAGGCCTTTGGGATGGAAGGGATGGGAAGGAATTCACCATGGCTGAGCAGTAGTGAGGAAAAGTCTATGAGAGGAAGTCAGAGAGGTTGGAAGAGGCCAGACCACACAGGGGCATGTGAGCCAGGATAAAAGCTTGAATTTATCAAAGGCTTTTCAAGCAAAGGGGTAAAAAGCCTGATCACATTTTCTCTTTTATTTTTTTAAGTTTATTTATTTTTGAGAGAGAGAGAAAGAGAGTGAGCTAGGGAGTATGAGTGGGAGAGGGGCAGAGAGAGAGGGAGACACAGAAGCCGAAGCCGGCTCCAGGCTCTGAGCTGTCAGCACAGAGCCTGATATGGGGTTCGAACTCACAAACTGTGAGATCATGACCTGAGCCAAAGTCGGACACTTAACCAACTGAGCCACCCAGTCATCCTGCCTGATCACATTTTCTAAAGTCCACTGGCTGCTCTCTGGAGCAAGTCTGGAAGTATATCTGGAAAAATAGGGTGAGATGAAGGCAGTGCGGGTCAGAGTATCACAGAAACAGAGAAGTGGGGTTCACCTGTGCCTGACCCTGGATAATATCAATGAGACAACTTACCTATTCTCCAAAATGACAAGATTTTTATTTCTTAAAGATATTTTAACGCAGTTGAACTACTTGAATATTATTTTATTTATTATATTAACTTGCATGTATATCTTAGTCTTATTTCTTGCTTTGATTTTAAAAGTTTTATTTCTTCATATTTCATGAAACAACCTCTTATAAACTCTTCAGATGGACTTTACACTTAAATGTCTACATATGACTCTTGCTTTTAATCTCCAAACTTGTCAGTATTTTTCATCTCGGCTGATAGTACTAATACCTGCACTCACTCAAGCTCAAAACATTGAATCCTTTTATTCTTCATATCAGCAGCTCTAGTTGGTCCTTGTTCTAAAATTCTGATATGTCCGAGAATTAGATAAAGCTCTGCCTCTGCCCCACACCTCCAAAAAATCTTGCAGAAAAAAGTAGTTGCCTTGTAAGTGAAGCCTTGCCAGATCTTTCATCTTTCAGGGTACCTCCTGGGAATATTACTTCACAATTACTAATAAATAATATAAAGCAAACAAACCTTCCTTTTAAAATATCCAATAAATGGTCGTATTGTGGAAATCACAAACAGTTGTACTTACTGGGTGAAAAAAAGTCTGTCCTAATGTTATGCAAAGAATTCTTGTGGTTTGGAATATCTTTCATTGATGGGATTACATATAGATTCATTATGTAGATTATACATTTAGTTAAAATGTTGAAAAACCAAAAAAAAAAAATGTTGATAAACCTAAATAAAAGTGTTGATGCTGAGCTCCAGAGAACTCTTTTATAACCCCAAGAGATAGCTTCAGTGATGGTGAAGTTAATGATGTTAGTGGTTCAAGTGATAGCCTTGAATGAGAATGTTTTTTAAATGTAATGCTAGTATAGGAACCTACTTTTCCTCACGTTTCAGGTGAAAGCTTGATATCCTGTATCTACTCTGCATTGTATTCAGGATTTCTCCCTGTATAGTAATCAGCCATGTGTACCAATCTTGTTCTTTTGTGTACTTGTTACTCTCACTGTTCACTGTGTCGTAAGCCCTCCCAAGATGGGCTGGTTACCTCTTTTCTTCTTTTGTCTGCTACTAACAACTTCTGGACAAGTGGAGGATAATCAGATTATTGTCAAATAAGTAAATTAATCACTCCAATATTCGATTATAAATTGCTCAAGATCACTGCTCCTTGAATGTATTTCATCTTTTCTCATTTGCAAGTTCATGTTTTTAACATTTGTAACTTTTGGATGTTTTCACATCTGTCAAAAAATTGTCTTAAGGTTTTTATTTAAATTCTAGTTTATCAGTGCCTGTGAACATTTCTCATGTCCCGTAAGTAGAGATTTTATTTGGGAGATTTTTTTTTTTTAACTGGGATCCTAGGCTCCATTTCAGAAGTTTTATTCAATAAGCATAATAATTGGGGGATTTACACAGTATGATTCATTTTTTTCCTTTTTAGAAGAAGTCTGGCTAGATAACAGTCTCAAAATGTGGCACCAGGATAATCAAGACAAGCTTAGAAGTATGGAGAGAGGCCATGAATATGATGTTTTTAGGAAAATATTTCATTCAAGCATTAACTTTGTTCATTTAGGAATGAGACCCCATAAATGTGGCACAGGTGAAAAAAATTTGAAACATCCTTTTGAGTTTCTTATTTCAAAAAATAACCGTGGAAGAAAGAAACTTGATGAGCTCAGTAAGAAATTGTTATTCTACATCAAACCTGATAGAACCCATGGTGGAGTAAAATACTGTGATTGCAACGCGTGTAGGAAAGCCAGCAATACAGAGGCATGGCTCATTGCAGACCATAGTACACATACAGGAGTCTGTTTATGCATGGAGTGTGGCAAAGTTTTTAATAAGAAGTCACAGCTTATTATACATCAGAGGACTCATACAGGAGAGAAGCCCTATGGATGCAGCGAATGTGGAAAAGCCTTTTCACAGAAGTCATTGCTCACTATTCATCAAAGGACTCATTCAGGAGAAAAACCTTATGGGTGTGGTGAATGTCAGAAAGCTTTCAGTAGGAAGTCACTACTCATTTTACATCAGAGAACTCATACGGGAGAGAAGCCCTATGGATGCAGCGAATGTGGAAAAGCCTTCAGCAGGAAGTCACAGCTTAAAAGACATCAGAGAACTCATACAATAGAGAAACCGTATGGCTGCAGTGACTGTGGGAAAGCTTTCTCCCAGAAATTAAAGCTTATTACACATCAGAGAACACATACAGGAGAGAAGCCCTATAAATGTAGTGATTGTGGGAAAGCCTTCTTTTGGAAGTCCCAGCTCATCACTCATCAGAGGACTCATACGGGGAAGAAACCGTATGCGTGTAATGAGTGTACAAAAGCCTTCAGCAGGAACTCACTCCTCATTAGGCATCAGAGGATCCACACAGGAGAGAAACCCTATGAATGCAGGGAGTGTGGCGAAGCCTTCATCAGAAAACCACAGCTCATTAAGCATCAAGTAACTCATACAGGAGAGAAGAACTATCGGTGCAGTGACTGTGAAGAAGCATTCTTTAAGAAGTCAGAGCTAATGAGACATCAAAAAACCCATTTAGGGGAGAAACCCTACGGGTGTGTTGAATGTGGAAAAACCTTCTTTGGGAAGTCACAGCTCCTAACGCATCAGAGAACTCACACTGGAGAGAAGCCTTATGAGTGCGGTGAGTGTGGGAGAGCCTTCACCCAGAAGTCAAGCCTGATATCACATCAGAGGACACACACAGGAGAGAAGCCCTATGAGTGCAGGGACTGTGGGAAAACCTTCAGTGAGAAGTCAAGCCTCGTGCATCATCAGAGAACCCATACTGGAGAAAAACCCTTTGAATGTAGCGAATGCAGGAAAGCTTTTGCCTGGAAGCCACAGCTTCTAAGGCACCAGAGAATTCATACAGGGGAGAAACCTTATGAGTGCAGTGAATGTGGGAAGGCCTTTGTTCAGAAAGTGCAGCTCATTAAGCATCAAAGAAATCACACAGGAGAGAAAACCTATGGGTGCAGTGAGTGTGCAAAAGCTTTCTTTGAGAAGGCACAGCTTGTTATACATCAGAGAATTCACACAGGAGAGAGACCCTATAAATGTAGTGAATGTGGGAAGTCTTTCACTAGAAAGTCACACCTTATGAGGCATCAGAGAATTCATACAGGAGATAAATACTATGGATGCAGTGAGTGTGGGACTGCTTTCAGCAGGAAGTCACAGCTCATGGCTCATCAGAGGACTCATGTAATCTAGAAACCGCATGAGTGCTGTGAGTATGAGAAATCTGTCAGACTGAGAGGGGAACCCTGTCAGTGCGCTGAGAAGGCAGGTCTCACCCAGCAGAGCTGAGAAAGGAGGGAAGTGTTTTTAGGTAGACAGTGTAAGAGAGCCTTCTAGAATGCATTAATGACTTGTCGCTGTGGAAGTCTTATCAGCATCATAGTAGTGCAGAACCTGGTAGTCAGGAGAGACAGCTCTTCATCAGAGGACCTAAACATGAGGAGGAACTCCATTGGAAAAAGCAAGTGGAAGGTTTCATCAAGAAAGGATAATTCACGGTACACCAGAGAATGCATACACAAAGGAAACACTGAGCATCTTGAATTAGAGATTTAAGTATGAAGGAGAAGTCCTAATAGTTTTGAAGAATTCTGATAAGCATGATCATATTGAAATAATTCTATTAAGTTGTATTTGTTGTATATAAATTATAAAAAGTAGTTAATTGTAAGTGGTAGCTGTGTTTTAAGTGTGAAGACTTCTGCTTTCTGCTATGGGAATGTGGCAAGGGCCGGATTTAACTCCCCTGCCGTGAACAGCTAGAAACTGTAAAATGTATGTGAAATAATGGTGTTGAGACCTATGACAAGCAGAAGTGTGTGATCCCTGGCAGAGGGTGTAGTGAGTGAGGTGCGCCCATAGGAGCCCAGCCTAACGTGGTGGCAGTTCCCAGGCTGCATATCAGGGAGAGGACCACATGCGGTATTGCTGAATTGAAGAGAATTGTTGCACTTGCATTCGGGGAGGCCAGAGTAGCTAAATTTTGCAGGGAAATGTACTAGGGAGGAGGGAGCTTCCCAGAGAGACAGCTGCAGAAATCTACAAGGAGTGCCCTTAGTCTTTTGGCGTAGTACTGATTTGCACGTGTGACCGGAGACTTCTTGAGTCCAGGAAAAGTGCAGGAAAGCAGTCGGCTGAACAGTTCCCAGAAATCAGGGTAGGCTGGAAAGAAAGTTCCCACCACCTGGAGTGGAGACCACTTTTAACACATGGGGGATCAGGTAGGATTCCCAGCAGAGTATTAGTAGTGAAGCAATCAATCCTAGACCGAAAGCTGGTCTGGACCCAAATGTCTGGCATCCAGAAACACAGCTGGTATCCAGGGAAGCCATGAGAATATGCCTTGTAATCAGGAGAAAAATCAGTCAGTAGAAAGACACACAGAAAAAAAATGAAAGCAGTTGGCATTAGATAAGGATGTTCAGAGAGCTTTTATAAGTACATGGGAAAACAGGAATGTGACAGTGTGAATTGGAAGATGTATTTTTAAAAGCCTGAGTGGAACTTCTCAGGCTGAAGACCATAATATCTGAAAATTAAAACAAAAAAAATCTTTGGATGGAATTAAGAGCAGATTAGACATAGAAGAACAATCAATGAACTTGAGTAAGAATAAAAACTGTCCAACTGAAGGACACAGTGGAAAAAAAGACTTGGAAGAAAAGAGAAAAGGGAGTCAGTTACAGCGAGGCACGTGTATTTGTGTGGAGTCCTAGAAGGAGAGGGCAGAGAAGAGGCATGAGAAAGTACTTAAGTAAAAAATGTGTGAAATTTTCACACATATGATGAAAAATGTAACTCCACATACTCAAGAAGTTTAAAGAACCTCAAGAGGAAATCCTGCTGATGGACATCACAGTCAAATTGATGAAACCCACTAATAAAGAGAACAGTTGTAAAGCACCTAGAGAAAGACAAGATACTTTCACAGAACAGAGGACCACACATACCTCTGGTTAGAAACTACTCGAGCTGGAACACAACGGAGTGAGAGACAACTTTACAGTAAAACCCCCACTGCCTGCCGTTTGTCTATTTCCCGTCAAAAACACGTTTCAAAAATGAAAGCAAAAAAAAAAAAAAAAATCTCAGAGAAACAGAATTTACCTGTAGACCTTCTTTCAGGAAACATGAAAGCATGAAAGCAGGTTTTGGAAATGAGGATCTACGGGAAGAAATGAGGAGCTCTGGGAGTGGTGAATATGTGGGTCAGTATAAAAGATCTCTTTCCTCATTTAAAAATCTTTTAAAAAGGTAATCATTTGTTTAAAGCCAAATAACAATGTATTGTGGGTTATGATCTATTTAGAAGTAAGGTGTCACAACGACAACGCTTAAGTATGAATCTCCAGAGCTAGTTAAATAGACTGCATCCTCTGAGTGAGAAACCTGCTTCCCCAGGGCTCAGGACAGCTTGTGTGTGTAGCAGCCACACAGTAGTATCGCACCTGTGCTGCTGCTTCTGTGCATCCCCGCCCCCGCACCCCCAGGGACTGTCCTCTAGGGACAGCCTCACTAGGGTTTGTGCTTAGTGTGAACATTGGAGATGCTCGATCGGCGAGCGGGAGGAGAGAGGTTGGAACACTTAACCTCACGCCCCTGTGTGGACCTGGGCGTGGGTGTGGCAGTGTGCTGCCGCCCCCTCCCCCCGCCCTCCTGGGGCAGTAGACTCTCTTTTCAGTTAACGCCTCCCTCTCCTTGCTCTTGTCAATTTGGGGTGTTAACTACTTCTGGATGCTTCACCACCGCTGGTTGGTTTCCTTAATTCTGAACACACATGTGTACAAGGTTCCTCTATTGAATGTTCTTAGGTTAATATTTTGAGTGTAGCACTTGTTTTCTGTGCCAGGTGTTAAATGATGAGCGTTTAACGTTTAACACAATCCTGAGTATCAGTTACTGGTACATGTGCGTCATCAGGCATAGACGGACATCTATCAAGATTACCCACACTAAATATCAGTATTTTATCTCTATTTTTAAACAGTTCGGTAGAAATTATAACAAATAACAAAACTCTTCGTGTTTTTTTGTTTTGCTGCAAATGTAAATGGCTCCGCAGGTGGTTATCTGCTACACATCCAGTGGTCTTGCACTTACTACTAACCTTGAAACCAAAATATTTATGAAGTCTTATGCTACCTCTGGATTAGCCAAGCAATTTACAAAAAAACCTGTCATTGATGTTCAATATGTGTGGTTGCCAACCACTTCCTGAGTAAGGTAGAAGGGAATGATGCTTCATACTTCCTAGCATCTCATTTAGAAACACTGTGCTGTGCAGTTAAAATGTCCTCATTCCATATTCTGTTGCTTTTCATTATATATAATCTGTGTAATCTGTAACCCACAGGTAAGATTTACACGTCAGTGGGTCAGCATTACTACAGAGAATCGCTTCAGGGCTACACGACAGTGCCCATCACAAACACTATACAGCCTCGTGAAGTGTAAGTTAGGTTGAAGTAAACCACCAGAGAGGCCCAGCATAGCACACCGTCCCATCATTTGTCAAATACCTCTTAAGACTTAATTTCACCATCCTTTACCCTCTCACACCCAGTCCTTTTCTTCTGGTAACAAAGCCACTTTTGAAGGGAAATAATTGCATCAGGCTACACAGCTGTATTTTCTCTCCCAGTTGTGTTTGCATCGCCATCTGCATCTTGAAGGTGTTCCATTTTGTATAACCCCAGCGGCACCATTCCGCTGTAGTCTGTGCCAGTAACTTGTGTATTACTCTGGTCCTGCCTTCAGGCTCAGGACCTCACTCCTCCTTTATAAGGAGTTAGTTAGCAAATGAAACAAATATTTCAAGGCTTGGGCATAACCGGACTAGCACTGTGACAGTCAGCTGTGGTGGTGTCTCTGCAACAGTGCCGTGTGCCTCTAGGTGACGGTACAGTGGCTTCTACATAACAGCTTTTCCCTCCCCACCCCTTTGTCACGTGCTGAAGAGACAGGCCATGCTCACTTTCCTTATCTTAGAAAACTTTATCTCATGATGTCTGTCTGCAGTGTAGAAGCAGGCGGTGTAACATCTCGTGACAGGCTCACAGGCATGACCAGTAGCCAAGTTAAGTGGCTCCTCCGGGTGTGGCACACCCCACCTGTGAACCTGTGATGCCATCTGGTAACTCTTTATTTCCTTTGGGAGTCTTATTACTCATTGTATCCAGGTAGTGTTGACATCTTGTCATTGAGCCTGTTACTCTCAGATGTTAAGATTAAATAATCCAGGGAACACTAACTTTTTTGAATGACTTAATTATCATACATAGGTATTTTACAACACCTAAATCATTAAAAGCGCCCAACAAATAGCGCAGCTATAGAAGCAGCCACTGGTAAGAGAAATACAAGTGAAGTGACATGTGTAATTAGGTTCTCATTTACAGCATTGCTGTGGTTCCTAGCATTAAGATTATTTATTAAAAAAAAACATATCAAGCTGAGATTCCCAAGATGGGGAAGCAGATTAACTCTAGTGTTAGAGAGTGGTCATGTTAAGGAAGCATTTAAACCACAGAGTTGCCACCACTGCAGCCATCAGAATGGCCGTGTGGGTTTCTCTCATACCCTCGTGAACACAGGGCAGCTCTAAGTGCATGAGCAAGTCATATATACTTATTCTGGTGTGTGTGTGTGTGTGTGTGTACAGAGCGGAATGTGTCAGGCGATCACATTGCAGATGTGGGCCAGCTGTGCCTCATACAAAGACAGGGCAGACAGTTCATGAGAAAGGTCAGCTGTCATCCCTTTGGTGAGAAGCAGTGTGTAAACTGCTGGCCTGTGTTTCCACTGCCGGTGCACCTGGAGAGCTGGGGTGCCTGGGGGAGCTGTGCGAGCTCAGACTATTGCACAGCACTTCTCTCTGCTGTATTTGAAAAGAAAACTCTGTACCTCTATGTTTACTGAGTAAACTGTTAAATGAATTAGTATGTGTGAGTGTGATTATTGGTAACAGTGAACTCTAGCTTCCATTCAGCTAGATATCCCAACCACATCTGAGCCTTCGCCAGTTTCCAACACTTTTATCATCGAAATACACCTGAAACATCAAGAGACCAGCTCTTCATTCACTTGTTGGCAGTGTTAGGAGTTAATGCTCTGCCCAGCCCTTGGCTCACGAAGTTGGGGTCTGGGTCTGTGCAGAGGTAAAATGGCCTTTTTTTAAAAATAAACTGAGGGGGGCGCCTGGGTGGCTTAGTCGGTTAAGCGTCCGACTTTCGCTTGGGTCATGATCTCGCGGTTCGTGGGTTCGAGCCCCGCGTCGGGCTCTGTGCTGACTGCCAGCTCGGAGCCTGGAGCCTGTTTCAGTCTGTGACTCCCTCTCTCTCTGACTCTCCCCTGCTCACGCTGTCTCTCTCTCCTAGAAATAAATAAAACATTAAAAAAAAAATTAAAAAAAAAATAAAAATAAACTGAGGGGTCTCCTAATCCTTTGAGGCTTAAAAGAGTAGTATACTTTCAGTGATACCAAGAGCACAGCCTCTAAGAAAAGTAGAGATGAGGCACACTGTGTAAGAAGGTTTACTCACATCTACTCTGTGCCTCCTGTGTAAGATATCGCCTAATCCGAATCCTCATTAAACCACATGGTCAGTGCAGGACGAGGCCTGGATTCCACACCGCAGGTCAAGTGCTGCGGCCCATGGGAGATGCACTTGTCCTTGGATTCCTTTCTTGTCTTCCCCCCAAAGATTTGATTTACTTAGTTTATTTTACTTTTATTTTTGAGAGAGAGTGAGAGCAGGGGAGGGGTAGAGCGAGAGAGGGAGAGAATTCCACGCAAGCTCTGCACAGACAGCAGTGAGCCCCAAGCAGTTCTCCAACTCCCCAGCTGTGAGACCATGACCTAAGCTGAACTTGAGACACTCAACGGACTGAGCCACCCAGGTACCCCCTTTTTTTTTTTTTTAAGAATTTTAGTTTTTAACTTTTAAAAATTGTTTTGAGAGCGCGCGCACACGCGCAAGCAGGGAACAGGCAGAGGGAAACCGAATCCTAACCAGGTTCCAGGCTCAGCGTAGAGCCCAGTGTGGGTTTTGATCTCAGGACCCTGGGACCATGACCTCAGCAGGTATCAAGAGTCGGAGGCTTAATTGACTGGGCCACCCAGGCACTCCTTAATACTTTATTTTTACTCTCTACACCCAAAGTGGGGCTCGACTCACAACGCGGAGATCCAGAGTGGCACGTTCCGCCAAGTGAGCCAGCTGGGCACCCGACTGCTTTCCTGTCTCCGTGTCCTCCAAGCACAATCAAGCCCCTGCTTCGTTAGCACCGGAGTTAGGTGTTAAGTTGCATGTTCTCCCTGACTGAGAGGTTCTCAGCTGGAAGGAACGAGAAACCACCAACTCCAGGATCTGTCCGTCCGCGCGCACCCCCAGCCGGCGCCCTGCAACCCGAGGGCTCGCGAAAAGCCTTGGGAATTTACGGACAGGCTCGCCGCGGAGCCCCCTGGGAGATGGAGCTCCGGGGCGAGCGGCACTCTGGGAAATGTAGTTCTGCGCACACACTTCCGCAGGGCCCCGTGAGTCTCGGTGCTACTGCCGCAGCGGGAGCAAGGGCAGGGAGGAGGCGGGCTGCGGCGCTGGGGCGGCCTGGGGGCCCGCGCCGGCCCCGCGTGCCCTGGGTGTGCGTCCTGCGGGTCGGAGCAGCGTGTGGGGCAGTGGGTTTGGGGCGGCGAGGCGGCCAGGCAGGACCGGAAGAGGGGGCTCCGGGGGTGGGAGACCGCCCGTGGGGAGGGCGGGTGGGCCCAGTGACGCGGAGGTGAGCGATCGGGGCCTGTCAGGGTGAATGTTGGCGGAGTTGGGGGGGGGGGGGATGGCAGGTCCTAAGCCAGTGCAGGCGTGGGGCGAGGGGTGGTTGTGGACCTGTTAGGGCGGCGTTGGGGGTCTGCAAACAGTGGAGGGACCGAATTAGGGATTTAAAGCATTCGTGCCTTAAAGCCACCTTCGGCGAGGGGAGGACCGGGCCGCAGGCCTGCGCTGGTTTCAGGGTAGCAGTGGCGCGGCCTTGGGGCGCTTCGAGGTGTCAGTGATCGGGGCAGCTGTGGAGGGCGGAAACGGAGTGCCCGGTGGGACTCGTGAAGGGCAAATGGAATTTGCTGGTCGGAAGGTGCGTGAAGTTGAGTATTTTCAGGCGACAGATTGGGGTTTTGTGTGGTGTAGGGATTGCTGGGATTTGCAAGAACTCTGTGAGTGGGGGGACGTCACCGGAGGAGGACTTTCTCGCTAACTTGTCGCCGTGCCTCAGGGATGAGTGGTTTCCGAGGCCGGTGGAGGTGTGTGGGGTGCTGTTTGTGTCACCAATTCTGGACTCACGGTGGGATGTCAGTTTACGTCAGGAACTGGGGAATCCAGAGATGAGGATTAGGATGCCTGGTGGCTGAGGAACTGAGTGATTAGGAAGGCCGCGTATCAGTCATTAGACGAGTATAGGGGCACCTGGCTGGCTTAGTCAGTGGAGTGTGCAGTTATTGATCTCAGGGTTGTGAGTTCAAGCCCCAGGTTGGGTGCACAGCCTGCCTTAAAAAAAAAAAAAAAAAGAGTAGTGATTGTGGAACTATGGAGTGAATGACTTGGTAGCCTGGAGTTGGAAGTCAGAGACTGGTGGACATTTGGCTGTAACTGGGGGACTATGGGAATGACTGGGGACATAGTAGATTTGGACAGTTGAGGAGATGGAGGAGTCATCGGGAAGCCTGTGGGCGTTAATAGGTTTGCGGGTGAATGAGGGACTTATTGGTGTGATAGGGTTGTGGGAGTTAGTGATGGGCCAACTGTGTCTGGTGACCGGGACTCACAGGGCTTGTTGGGAGTATGATTGGTGGAGTAAGTGGTGAAAGGGCTTTTGCAAATGGTTCATTAGTGAGCTATGGAATTGACTAGGAGGTCTTTGAGGCTAATGATTGGGTGGCTGTAGGGTTTGAAGACGAAGGATACCTGGATATCAGATGTTGGTTAAAAATGGACTGAGTTTTTATACAATATAATCACCGGTCTACAGTTATATTTATTGGTCTGAATGTGGGTATACTATATAGCATAAGAGGCAATTCAAAAATTTAAGAAGACTGTAAGATCACAATTTTGTAATAATGTCAGCATGATTTCTAACACCCTATGAGAGAGGTACCTTTGAAGCAGTGGGATTATGGATAATAATTGTTAGTTGATATGTATTTTCTGATTTCTCTATAAGCATGTCCTGTAATAGTAAGACCACTAACTAGTATTTACTAAATGTTTATGTGCCATTCATAGTTCTAAGGTATTTACATGTATTAACTAATTTAGAATTCAAAGAACATTATGAGCTTAAAATGAACTATTTTGTTGTATTTTGAGGAGAAACTCTGCTGAATTATTCCTTTCATGAATGGTTGGATTCACTTTCCTCTTTTCTTCATGCCTTTTATTTAAAAATGAAATTGATTGGGGCGCCTGGGTGGCTTAGTCGGTTAAGCGTCCGACTTTCGCTTAGGTCATGATCTCGCGGTTCGTGGGTTCGAGCCCCGCGTCGGGCTCTGTGCTGACTGCCAGCTCAGAGCCTGGAGCCTATTTCAGAGTCTGTGTCTCCCTCTCTCTCTGACCGTCTCCTGCTCACGCTGTCTCTCTCTCTCTCTCCTAGAGATAAATAAAAATATTTAAAAAAAAAAATAAAAAAATAAAAATGAAATTGATGTTCATGGGATGCCTGGGTGGCTCAATGGGTTAAGCATCTGACTTTGGCTCGGGTCATAATCTCACAATTTGTGGGTTTGAGCCCAGTATTGGGCTCTGTGCTGACAGCTCAGAACCTGGAGCTGCTTCAGATTGTGTCTCCCTCTCTCTGCCCCTCCCTTGCTCACACTCTGTTTCTCTCTTTCTCTCTCCCAAAAATAAATAAACGTTAAAAACATTTTTAAATGAAATTGATGTTCTTATTTTCCGTTTGCTGTATATTTTACACACACACACATACACACACACACAATTGCTGTCTTCCTTCCTCACGTTGAGAGACAATGAAATCTTGGTTAAATGCTGCTATTAATGCTGTGGGGTTCCTTCTGCATACCCTACTATTTGAGTCCTTGTTCGGTCTGTTTATGGTCTTTTTAAAAAGTTTATTTAATTATTTTGAGAGAGAGAGAGAGCATGAACAGGGAAGGGGCAGAGAGTTAGAGAACCCCAAGCTGACTCTACTCTTCTGTGGAGCCCAGCGCAGGGCTCGATCCCAAGAACTGTGAGATCGTGACCTGAGCCAAAATTAAGAGTTGGATACTTAAGTGACTGAGCCACCCAGGCACCCTGAGAGTCTTTTTTTTTTTTTTTTAATTTCAAGTTTTAATTTAAATTCTAGTTAGTTAACATATATGGTAAAATTGTCTTCAGGTGTGGAATTTAGTGATTCACACTTACATACCACACCCAGTGCTCATCACGAGTACCCTCCTTAATACCCATCACCCATTTAAAGTCTGTTTAGAGTCTATAGAAAACCCAGTTTGAGCTTTAAATGAAGGAAGGTGAGTTTTCAGCAAGAGGGAGATCTGCATCTACTAAAGAGACTTTGTTAACTGATTCAACAGATACCAGTTTCCACGAAGTAATTTGAGACAAAAAAGTCCCAGAGGCAAGTCCTTGGTGAAGAGAGTCCTGACCAGAGACTAATTTGACCATTAAAATAGGAGTCCAGAAGATTCACAGAGTCAAGAAGGATAGAGCAGAGCCTCGAGTTACTGGCCATTTCCCAAGAGTGGCAGAAAATGACCAAGTCCCAGGTGAGTAATTAATTTATTTCCTCAGTTATGGTTCCACACAGTTCACCCATTTAAAGTGAACCATTTACTGTATTTTAGTAAGTTAAGAGACCTCCGCAACCATCTAATTGTTCAACCACAATCTAATTTTAGAGGATTTTCATCCTCCTAAAAGGGAACCCACCTTTTTAGTAGGTATTCCCCATTTCCCCCCCCCCACCCCACCCCAGCTCTAGGCAACCAGAATATGCTTTCAGTGTCTCTGGATTTGCTCATTCTACCCGTTTCATATCAATGGAATCACACCTGTTCTTTTGTGACTGGCTTCTTTCACATAGCTTACTTTCAAATTGGGACATATATTAATACTTTATTACCTTTTGTTGTGGAATAATAATAGTCTAGTGTGTGACTATACCACATTTTGTTTATCAGTTCCTCATTTCCTAAACATTTGGATTATTTCCACATTTTGGCTATTATGGCTGATGCTACTGTGAACATTTGCATATATGTTTTCTGTTCTCTTGGGCACATACCTAGGAATGGGAATCCCTAGGTTCATGTCATAACTATATTTAACATTTTGAAGAACTGATAAACTTTTTTTTAAGTGTCTGTTTCATTTTATAATCCCATTATAATATATAAGGGCTTCAATTTCTCCACCTTCTCACCAACACTGTTACTGTCTGTGGCCATTCTAGTGGGTGTGAAATAGTACCTTGTGGTTTTCATTGCATTTTCCTCTATATCCATACGGATGTGTCTGGGTATAACAGTTTTATTCACATTTTTTTTTTTTTTTACAAATAGTTTATTGTCAAATTAGTTTCCACATAACACTCAGTGCTCATCCCCACAAGTGTCCTCCTCCATGCCCATCCCCCCAATTCACATTTTTTTTTTTAAAGGGAGACAGCATGAGCAGAGGAGGGTCAGAGAGAGAGGGAGACACAGAATCTGAAACAGGCTCCAGGGTCTGAGCCAGCTGTCAGCACAGAGCCTGACATGGGGCTCGAACCCACGAACCGTGAGGTCATGACCTGAGCCGAAGTCAGACACTTAACAGACTGAGCCACCCAGGCACCCCTATTCACATTTTTTTAAATGTTTATTCACTTTAGAGAGAGAGAGTGAGCACAAACGGAGACGAGGCAGAAAGAAAGGGAGACACAGAACCTGAAGCAGGCTCCAGGCTCTGAGCTGTGAGCACAGAGCCTGATGCTGGGCTCAAACCCAGGAACCTTCAGATCATGACTTGAACTGCAGTCAGAAACTTAACCTACTGAGCCGCCGAGGCGTCCTGTCATGTTTTTGTTTGTTTGTCTTAATTCACAATTTTTTTACTGCTTTCAGTTGGAAAAGCTCTTGTATGCCTTCAACTTTGGGGACTTTTCTTCTTTTGTTTCACTGATTATTTCTTCCCCCTTTATTCTCCATTTTCTCCAGTTTTGGAATGCTTAATGGATATTCTCTTCTGGATCTATCCTCTGAGTTTAAAAACGTTTAATATGTTTGACTTCGTTTCTTCTCATCTTTATTCTTGCAGAGTTCGTCAGTGTGGTGATTCACACTACGTATGCCCTCTTCCCCTAGGTACATTCTGCTGTTTGGCCAGTAGATCAAGATTTTTTTCCATTCAAGTTTTTAAATTTTATTTTTAATTTAATTAATTTATTTATATTTATTTATTTTTTAGAGAGAGAGTGAGCGAGCGTGAGCATGGAGGGGGGCGCAGAGGGAGAGAGTATCCCAAGCAGGCTCCACATTCAGTGTGGGGCCAGACTCAGGGCTTGATCCCACAACCCTGAGCCAATATCAAGAGTTGGATGCTCACCCAGCTGAGCCACCCAGGTGTCCCCTCCGTTCAAGTTCTAATAAAAACTCTTTTAATGATTCCTTCTAATGTTTCAATGCGATGGTTGAAGAGTAGGGCCTAAAATTTGTGTGATGTTTGCCTTGAAATATTTGTTTCAAAATTAAATATACTATTTTCTAGGGATAATATCCTATATAGGATGTAAAATCCAGATCTTGTGTTTGGCTTAAAATCACTCTTTTTTTTTTTTTTTTTTTTTTAAATTTTTTAATGTTTATTTCTGAAAGAGAGAGAGGGAGACACAGAATCCAAACCGAGCTCTGAGCTGTCAGCCCAGAGCCCAGTGCGGGGTTTGCACTCACAAACCAGGAGATCATGACCTGAGCTGAAGTCAGACTCTTCACCAACTGAGCCACCCAGTCAGGTGCACCAGTTCACAATTAAATTTAGATTAGGGCCACCGATAATTAGCTTCACCCCTAGCCTCCTCTACTTACACCTTTTAATCTTTTTGTTGTGTGACCTGAGAGGGAGTTGGACTGCAGTTTCAGTTAATTTTGGTTCATGTACATATTCAATGCCGGAAGACTCCTAGGATCTAAGCATTGCAAAACTGTGAAGAACTGTGAATTTTTCTCTGCTTTCCACCTGTGTGGGGGTTGGGGAAGTTAACATAGTTGGCCTGAGGCACCTATCTTTTAAAAGGCCTCCGTGCAAGGTGGGCATGTGGAAACTTAGCCTGTGCAAAGCTCCTTACTTGATAAAGGTGTGTCACTGCACCTGTACTGGATAAATAGCATGATTCATGGCGAACAGCTGCTTTCCTTTTGCTTTCATTTTGGTAGCTGCCAGGCAGAAGGGTGCCTGTGTGACCAGCCTCCATTAAAAATCTTGGGTGGTGGGGCGCCTGCGTGGCTCAGTCAGTTAAGTGTCCAACTCTTGATTTCGGCTCAGGTCATGATCTCACGGTCTGTGAGATCAAGCCCTGTGTCCAGCTCTGTGCTGACAGCACAGAGCCTGCTTGAGATTCTCTCTCTCCCTCTCTTTCTCTGCCCCTCCCTGCTCTCGCTCACGCTCTCTGTCTCTCAAGTATATACATATGTACATACATATGTATATACACACACACACACATGTATATATTTAATCTTGGGTTAAAATTTTTTAAATAAGATAATAAAAAAAATCTTGGGTGGTGAATCTCTAATGGTCTTTTCTGGACACATATATCATACAAAAGTTGCTGCATTGTCATAGGCAGGGTAGAGTGTGCTCTGTGGGACCCCTCGTAGGAGAGGGAGAGCTTAGGGCTACTGCGCTTAGATCCCTCCAGACCCTGCCTGGCTTTCCCGTACTGATCTATCTGTGTGTGCTCACTGCGCTGCTGTAACACTTTAGCCGTGTACAGCTGTGGCAAGTCTCGTGTGTCCTTCTAATAGATTAGTGAATGTGTGGGTGGTTTAGGGAGCCCTGAAACACCGCTTTTTTTTTTCTTCTGCACTTTCTTGGCCAAATTCCAGTGGAGTGGAGAGGAAATTGTCGGGCTGAGCAGTCTTTGTGTATCAGGGTGCTTCCAGGTCCCTGTTTTTCTCACCAGGCATTATCCTTGTCCATGCCTTGGTTAATTTCTCCAGATTCCTGGTAAGTCCCTCAGGCTTGTGTCACCTGCTCCACTGTCTATCCACGTGCAGTCAGGCCCCTCCCCCAGGTATAGCACCTGCTACAGCTCCCTGCTAATCTGTCCAGGGCTCTCTTCTTTCTGACTTGGAAGTCCTCAAAACTGTGTGTCCAGAAGTCTCTACTCATATATAGGAAACTGTAGTCACAGGTTAACGGGAGCAGAGGGGTCCTTTGCATCTTCCTACGTTGAGTTGGAAGTAGAGGTCCCATTCTGTCTTCATTCTTTTTTTTTTAATGTTTATTTATTTATTCTGAGGCAGGGGATAGGACAGAGAAAGGGGGAGAGAGAGAGAGAGAGAAAGAGAGAGAGAGAGAGAATCCCAAGCAGGCTCTGCACTGTCAGTGCAGAGCCTGACATGGGGCTTGATTCCATGAACCGTGAGATTAAGACCTGAGCCAAAATCAAGAATCAGACACATAACTGACTGAGCCAACCAGGCGCTCCCACAAGTGTGTTTTCAAGTTTCATCCATGTTCCGTATAAGTCTGTGTATTTCCACTGCTGGCTGATCACTGTTTGCTTTGTCACTACCTATTTTCTTGTCAATAGATGTTGAGCATTTTCAGATTTGCTGTTTTATTAAAAAAATTTTTTTTAATGTTTATTTCTGAGAGAGAGAGAGAGAGAGACAGAGGTAGAGTGTGAGCAGGGGAGGGGGAGAGAGAGGGAGACACAGAATCTGAAGCAGCTCCAGGCTCTGAGCTGTCAGCACAGAGCCCGACATGGGGCTTGAATGCACAGACTGTGAAATCATGACCTGAGCTGAAGTTGGATGCTTAACCAACTGAGCCACCCAGGCGCCCCCTCCAATTTGCTGTTTTAGACACTGATGTCTTTGTTGCCGGGTACACACATACAAGAAAGTCTCTAAGGCAGGAGCAGAAGGTGAATATTTTGGGCTTTTCCAGCCATGCATTCCCGGACACAACTGCTCACCTCCGCTGCGTTTCCTGTGAGAGAGTCACGGATCATTCGCGAACAGTTGGCTGGAGGCTCACTTTCAAGAAACTTTATTTTAATATCGAAGCGCTGGCCTGGGCTTGGCAGTTTGCAGCCCCTGCTCTAAGGTGTGAGCCCAGCGGGCGGCACTGCTGGTGCACAGAAGGTGACTGTCCCCGCTGCTGGCGCACAGAAGGTGACTGTCCCCGCTGCTGGCGCACAGAAGACGACTCTGCACCACCACACCCGCGGTGCATTCATCCACATTCTTGGCTTCTCTAGATATTGAAAAGTTTGCGTTTGTGGCAGTCTAAGGAGTGAATGATAACCCTTACAGCTGTAGCTGTACCACGTACGTTCTTCGGCCCCAGCGTCTGTGGTAACTTGACCCAGCGAACAAGACTGAGTCCCAGTGAGGACAGAATGAATCCCGTTCACCTTCGTGCTGACGACACTGGAGTGGCACCTCGCACACTTGTGGGCCGAAAAACATTCTGTCATACTATCTTACTTAAAACACTACAGGATTTTTAAAAGACTTCTAGTTCTTGAATAAGGTATAATGCAGAACCAGGTATATGATAAAGAGCCTATATACTGAATCATGATAAGAATGGTCAAAATCAACGTACCAGGGACGACTTCATTTACAAATAGCGGGAGCTCTGATAATAAGGCTACTGAACTTTCTCCTGCAAGACGCCTGGAAGCAGGTGGCCCTGGGCAGGCACAGCACACGACCGGGGTCATAAAGGACGAAGGGTGTTTCCAGGTTTCTGCTCTGCCGCCCTTCACTTGCCTTGTCTCAGCCCAGCGTGGCTTCAGCAGCTCCAAGAGTAACGTCTGCAGCAGAAGCAGGAGGAAGGGGAGAGGGGAGAGGGCACCATCAGCATCTCGCTCTTCTCCGGAAGCAGCAGCTGCCCTGCAGATGGCCTCACACACCTTGCAGGTCCCATCGCCAGCACACGGTCACACGACGGACTCTAGATGGAAGAGAGACAGAACAGAGGGAACTGGCATCCAGCTCAGAATAGTTTCCATTTGTTCCCGGGAACCAAGCACATTTGCATGACGGTTCCTGAAAGCTCCCACTCCAGGGTCTTCCCGCCTTTCCTTTATTATCTGGCGTCCGTGTCTTCAGATTCAGTAGAAACATGCTCTTTCAGGAGTCGTTGTCATTTGAGGATGTGGCTGTGAGCTTCACACGGGACGAGTGTCAGCTCCTGGACTCTGCTCAGAAGAACCTGTACAGAAATGTGATGTTGGAGAACGTGAGCAGCCTCGTGTCCCTGGGTAAGGACATCTTCTTGTGCAGACCCAGACTCCGCCCATGCATTTGTCGTTTCCTGTTCATTTACTATAAATTGGGGCCTTTGAGGTATGCAGTGACTTAGGATTTAGTTTAAGAATTCACAAATTCTGGGGGCGCCTGGGTGGCTTAGTCGGTTAAGCGTCCGACTTTCGCTTAGGTCATGATCTCGCGGTTCGTGGGTTCGAGCCTCACGTCGGGCTCTGTGCTAACTGCCAGCTCGGAGCCTGGAGCCTGTTTCAGAGTCTGTGACTCCCTCTCTCTCTGACCCTCCCCTGCTCACGCTGTTTCTCTCTCTCCTAGAAATAAATAAAAAAACATTAAAAAAAATTACTTTAAAAAAAAGAATTCACAAATTCTGGGGCGCCTGGGTGGCTCAGTAGGTTGAGCGTCCAACTTTGGCTCAGGTCATGATCTCGTGGTCAGTGTGTTGGATCCCCGCATTGGGCTCTGTGCTCACAGCTTGGAGCCTGGAGGCCACTTCAGATTCTGTGTCTCCCTCCCTCTCTGCCCCTCCCCAGCTCGTGCTCTGTCTTTATGTCTCAAAAATAAATAAACGTTAAAAAAGATTAAAAAAAAAGAATTCACAAATTCTTAGCCCTGTTTTGTCTTTTAAAACATTTTTTTTATGTTTTATTTATTTTTGAGAGAGAGAGAGACAGCATGAGCGGGGGAGGGAGGGTCAGAGAGATAGAGGGAGACACAGAATCCGAAACAGGATCCAGGCTCTGAGCTGTCAGCACAGAGCCCGACGCGGAGCTTGAACCCACAAACCATGAGATCATGGTTGCCCAACTGACTGAGCTACCCAGGTGCCCCAGCGCTGTTTTGTCTTGAGCGTTATGCACATCCCAGATGGAAGGCCTCACGGCACAGCCTCTGAAACTAAGCATTCAGTTATTCTTAGAAGCCTGAGCCCCAAAAATTGGGCTCAAGTCATGTGTGATTTTTCATATACAGGATTTCAACTTATCAAACCAGATGTGATCTTCAAACTGGAGCGAGAGCAGCCATGGACAATAGGTGAAGAGGTCCCAAGCCAGAGCTTTTCAGGTGAGTCACATGTGAGATGGTGGAATTTCAATGCCAGTTTAGGGGTGCCTGGGTGGCTCAGTCAGTTGAGCATTCGACTCTTGATTTGGGTTCAGGTCATGATCCCAGGGTCATGGGATCAAGCCCTGCATCAGGCTCAGCGATGAGCATGGAGCCTGCTTGGGATTCTCTCTCCCTCTGCCCCTCTCCTGATCTCTCTCTTTCTCTAAAATTAAAAAATAAATGAATAATGTCAGTTTACAGTGGATGTAAAGACAATGAAGGGTGGGCAGCTCTGAAATGTTGTTTAGATAATTGTTGAAATCACTAAACCTTTAGAGGGGACTCAGAACCACGGATATGAGCTTCTCAGATACCCAGATGTTATATGTATAACTTATCTGTATGAAGATAATCTGTTCATCTGTGCTTTGATTTTAGAGTGAGGTGTGCTTCTCTGGTCTGTACTGAGCAGCTCAACCCTCCTCACGTCAGGCCACGTATGTGCTTTTTCCCTCCCACACCACGAGTGTATCCTGCTGGTAGATCCCTTTTCTTTTCTCTTCTACCAAGAATTCATTGTGATTTTTTTCTTTTCATCATTCTAATTCCCTCCTATTTTCTTTCTCTTTTCATTGTTAAATACCTCAGATTACTATTACATACCCGAGGTCATTTCTTCTATTCTCTCCTTGATTTCTTTAATGGAAGTTTACTCCTATGCCTGTAACCAAAGGAATAACTTTGGTGTCATCATTGCCTACCTTCTAGTGCAACTTTTAATTTATTTAAAAAAATTTTTTTAATGTTTTATTTATTTCTGAGAGAGAGAGAGACACTGCGCGAGCAGGGGAGGGTCAGAGAAAGAGGAGATACAAAATCTGAAACAGGCTCCAGGCTCTGAGCTAGCTGTCAGCACAGAGCCCGACGCGGGGCTCGAACCCACAAACCATGAGATCATGACCTGAGTCGAAGTCAGACGCTTAACCGACTGAGCCACCCAGGCGCCCCCTGGTGCAACTTTTTAATGCTGACTGTGCCCAAATGAAACCCTACCTTTGCTTAGGACAGATTATTATATCACGGCCTCGAGCAACCTATTTGGGCAAAGTGGGTTTTTTTCCCTTTTCTGTATCTGTTATTGATTTTCTACCTCAGTTTCCATGAGAGCACTTTATTTAATTTTATTTCCCAAATGGTATAGCTGTGCATGATTGTTTCTGCACTTCTAGTTCATCTGGTTCACAGTTATTGAATTTACAAAACGTGATTATCTTTCTCTTTTCTAGAATACTGGAAAGTTGATGATTACAAAGCTTGGCACCGAGAAATCCAAGACAGGATTAAAAAATCGGAACACGTCCATGACACTAATGCAAGCGGAGAACCATTTCAGTCCTGCATGAGCCTCGCACCTTTAAAGCAAAAGTCCAATAAGTGTGTCTCAAATGGAAAACATTTGAAATACTCTTTGGATTTATTTACGGAGACTGGAAACCGTGGAAGAAGGAAACCTGGTAAGTTCAATAGATATGAGAAATCCTTTTTCTATACCGAACATGAAAAAACTCATGTTGGGTTAAAGTGCTATGAATGTAACGATTGTGGAAAAGTAATCAGCAAGAAGTCACGGCTCATTGTACATCAGAGAACTCACACAGGAGAGAAACCATTTAAATGTAGTGAATGTGGCAAAGCCTTTTCCCAGAAGTCACACCTTGTGACGCATCAGACCATTCACACAGGAGAGAAACTTTATGGATGTGAGTGTGGGAAGGCCTTCTCTAGAAAGTCACATCTTGTTACACACCAGAGAACTCACACAGGAGAGAAACCTTATGAATGCTGCGAGTGTCACAAAGTCTTCTCTCAGACGTCACAGCTCATTATTCATCACCGAAGTCATACAGGAGAGAGACCCTATGCATGCGGTGAATGTGGGAAAGGCTGTAGTGGGAAGTCACAATTTATTACTCATAAGAGAACCCATATAGACGAAAAGCCCAATAAATGCAACGAATGTGGGAAAGCCCTCAGAGAGAAGTCAAGTCTCAGTAAACATCAGAGAATCCATTCAGGACAGAAGCCGTATGGATGCCGCGAATGTGGGAAAGCCTTCAGTGGCAAGTCGCCCCTCCTTAGACATGCGAAAACCCATTCAGGAGAAAAGCCCTATGGATGTAAGGAATGTATGAAAGCATTTATTTGGAAGTCCCAGCTCATCATACATCAGAGAACTCACACAGGAGAGAAGCCCTGTGGATGCAGCGCTTGTGGGAAAGCTTTTTCCCAGAAATCACACCTCATGATACATCAGAGAATTCACATAGAGCAGGCACCCCAGAAATAGAGTGAATGTGAGAAGCTTTTAAGAAAGTAATCACACTTCTCTCTATATCATAAAACACATTTATAGAAATTCTGTGAATGCTGTGAGTGTCGGCAAGGCATTGGCAGGAAGTTCTGCTTCCTTAAACTTCAGAACGCCAAATGGGAGAGGAAGGCTATGTGTGGAGCAAATGTAGCAAAGACAGTAGAGAGAAGCACTCAGCCAGTAGTCTAGTCTCATTGTAAATCAAGTTATTCATATTGAGGACAAAAATACTGATTTCAGGGAATATGGGAAAATTTGTCCATAGAAATGTTAAAAAAGTCAATCTCCAACTACGGTATTGCATCTTTTAATGAAAAGATTATATATTCAATTTTAAACAATGAGCATATGAAGCTATAAAGATCTGTCTGTCTGTGTATGAATATGTTCAGTAATTGTGACAGCCAAGTAGAAAGTCCATTGCTTATATTCCTGAGTATGGCTACATGTTATGGATTTAAAGAATTTCATACATATGTGAAATTAATCTGTGAACACAGTAAGTGTCATGTTTATAGCACAGCATCTCCCCGGAATGCTGCACAATGTATATCGTTTGTCTTGTACTATAATAGAAGATAAGCCGTACCAAAGATTCAGTTATTTAACAAATAGTTTAAATTATATTGCCAGATACTTTTTGGCATATGTAAATGTTCTCGGGACCACTTACCATGCTCTGTGTTCAATAATAGAGGCTGGAGTTTTTCAGTAAAATCTCCTGCCTCTTCTGAGTCACCAGTTATGTCCAGATTGTTATTCATATTAAATATGCAGGGGCGAGAACGCAAGTTAGCATATGACCAAGTGCGCGAACGAAACGCTCTCAACTGCATTGCTCATCACCTAAACATATGAGAAATGGAGCTGGTGAAAATAAAATATGCACAAAACATATCCTGCTATTATTTTTCAGGGACATTTCTTTTTTTTTTTTTTTAATGTTTATTTTTGAGAGAGAGAGAGAGGTAGGGTGCATATACATGGGCGAGGGGCAGAGAGAGAGGGACACAGAGCATCTGAAGCAGGCTCCAGGCTCTGAGCTGTCAGCATGGAGCCCGATTTGGGGCTTGAACTCCCGAGATCATGACCTGAGCTGAAGTTGGAAGCTCAACCGACTGAGCCACCTAGGCGCCCCTCAGGCGCCTTTTTTGTTTTGATGTGAAACATTGATGAGTTTTCATTTTAGAATTTAGTTCATAGATCATGAGATCGAGAAAAGTCACATTGTGCTTAGAGACTCTAGACTTGAGATATAAATGAGGACTCCTAGGACTTTGTATTTTCTCTTGTTGGGGAGAGGATGAGAGTGTCGCTGTGTGATTAGCCCATTCGTGATAGGCAGGACAGCACTATTATCTTACCGTCACATGTGTGTGTCACAGGAGCATGAGAAGGAAGGGTGCCAAATAACAGAGTGCGTAGCCATGCCGGCCCTGGACCTGCCTGGGCTTCAGACCCACCCCCTCCCCCACCTGCCCTGCTCCCGGGCCTGGGGAAGGCGGCCCCACCAGTGCAGCCCACTCTCCCGTACCCAGTGCTTCTACGTGAATTCGGGGAAACTGAAGGGTGTGAGATGAGTAAACCAAACAAGATAGTTCTTCCATCTGGGCCTCAGGTAACCTCCAGCAATGGTCGTGTCTCCTCTGTCACTGCAGCTGCTCCTAAGTAGACATGCTGTGGCTGCAGCTCCCGCTGGGTGACCCTGGATTGGGGACCCAGTACCCACCTCCTCCGTGTGTCCCCCTGCTGAGTGATGGTCATGAACGCCTGCTTTTGCACCTGGTTTTGCTTCTCGGACACCTCCCCACCCGCTCCGGCTTCTCATCCCTCCTCTCACCTGTGTAACCAACTTCCCGCGTTAGGTTCCCTGTTTTACTTAGAGTAGAATTTATTTTCAAGGTGGGACCCTTTGCATTACAGGTACGGCAGAGACTGTGCATGTTGGTTCTTAAATCAGGGCGTAGAGAGCATCCTACAGGGCAGCCCCCCAACCTTGCAGAGTATGTGAGTTCCCAGAGAATTACTCTTAATAACCAAATACTGGAAAAAATTCAAAACAGCTAGTGAGTGGATAAAGAAAACGTGCTATGTCCATACAGTAAAATACTTTTTTTTTTTTTTTGCAATAAAAAGACGTACAACATAGTTGCGGCAAGAAAGGAACCAGACACAAAAGACTAGACTAGATTTTCTATTTAAGTGAAAATGTCTGGACTTTGGTTGCCTTGGGCTGGGCTTACAAGCGCGGACTAACTGCGAACGGAAGTGAGGGGAGCGCCTGGAGGTGGTGACACTGGGTTGTGGTGAGGGGCTCATACCTACCAATTCGCTGAAAGTCTCTGAGCTGAACACTGAAGTGGGCAAATTCAATGGTGTATGAATTATCCCTCAATAAAGCTGTTTAAAAATGGGTAGAGCTAAAGGGAGAAATAGAAAAATGCACACTCATAATTGGAGACTTTAACGAACTCCCTTCCATTATTAGCAAATAGAACAAGTACACATAAAAAGTCCAGAAGGATATAAAGTATTGGAGAAATCTTATGAATGAGCTGGCCTAATTGACATTATCGTCCTCTACATGTAGAATCTGCCGAATGCACACTTTTTTCAAGTGTCCATAAGGTATTCACTAATATAGACTGTATGTGATGGCATAAATCAGGCCTCCATAGGTGAAAATATAGGATATGTTCTCTAATAACAATAAATATAAAAATAATGACAAGCCATCTTAAAATATCCAAATATTTGAAAATTAGGCAATATCCTTCTAAGCAACCCATAAAACGAGGAAGAACTCACAGAGGGATAATCCTACCCATACTTAGAAAATAGAGGAGTAAGAAACACTTCCCAACTCATTTCGTAAGGTTGGCATAGCCCTGATACTGAAACCTGGCAAGGGTATTTTAAGGAAAGAAAATTACAGGCCAATGAATGAATATAGATTCAAAAACCTAAATGCAGTATTAGCATATAATAATTAGAAAATATTAGCAATAAATAAAAATAAAACATCATGATGGAGCGCCTGGGTGGCTCAGTCGGTTGCGCATCCGACTTGAGCGTCGGCTCAGGTCATGATCTCACAGCTTGTGGGTTCGAGCCTCGCGTCGGGCTCTGTGCTGACAGCTCGAAGCCTGGAGCTGCTTCAGATTCTGTGTCTCCCTCTCTCTCTGACCCTCCCCTGCTCACGCTGTCTCTGTCTCTCAGAAATAAGTGAAACATTAAAAAAAACCAACATCATGACCAAGTGACATTTATCCCAGAAATGCAAATTGAATGCATATTTAAGAACCAGTTGGGGCTCCTAGGTGGCTCAGTCGGTTAAGCATCTGACTTTGGCTCAGTTAATGATCTTGCAGTTCATGGGTTCGAGCCCTGAGTTGGGCTCTGTGCTGACAGCTTGGAGCCTGGAGCTGCTTAGGATTCTGTGTCTCATTCTCTCTCTACCCCTCTCCTACTTGTGCTCTGTCTCTGTCTCTCAAAAATAAATAAATATTAAAAAATATTTTAAAAGAGAACCAATTATAGTTTACTATAATAACAAAGAAGAAAAATCATTTATCTCAGTAAAAAAACTTGACAAGATTCAAATGGGAGTATTTTGAGGGATTTGGAAATAGTTTATCTCTTGATTGGATGTTAGAGATAGTTGTATATTTATTATAACTTATCAAACTACCCAATTAAAATACATGCATTTATTGTATGCAAGTTACGTATCAATTATAAACCTGAAACTCAATTCAATCTCGGATTGGATTCAAGAGCACAGTCCCTGTATTATCTTCCTGAAATAAAAAAGGAGTAATCCTCTCTGATCTAAGATAGTATCATCTGGAGAGCTCTACATTTCTAACATACACAAAATTTAACAAAACAAAAAATGGTTAGATGTGGGGCATCTGGGTGGTGCAGTTAAGTACCTGACTCTTGGTTTTGGCTCAGCTCATGATCTCATGGTCTAGAGATCAACCCACATCAGGCTTATCGAGGAGCATAGAGCCTGCTTGGAATCCTCTCTTTCTCTCCCCCCACCCCCCCGCCGTGCTGTTTCCCTGCTCATACTATATAAATAAATAAACAAACTTTACATTTTTTTTTTAATGTTTATGATTGAGACAGAGAGAAACAAGACGAGCGGGGGAGTGACAGAGAGAGAGGAAGACACAGAATCCAAAGCAGGCTCCAGGCTCCGAGCTGTCAGCACAGAGCCCAATGTGGGGCTTGAACCCACAAACCGTGAGATCATGACCTGAGCCGAAGTCGGAGGCTCAACCGACTGAGCCACCCACGTGTCCCCAAAGAAACTTTAGTAAAATGGTTACATGTGCAAAAAATCAGGAAAAAGTGACTGGTGATCCAAAGGAAAAAAGAGCCGCAAATGATTCAGATATTGGAATTTCCAGACAAAAACTTTGAAATAACTATTATTAATAAGTAGTAAAAGATATGGGGTGCCTGGGTGGCTCAATCGGTTGAACACCCATCTTAATTTTGGCTTCAGGTCATGATCCAGAGTTGTAGGATTGAGCCCCAGTTTGTGCTCCACACTGAGCATGGAGCCTGCTTGAGATTCTTTTTCTCTGTTTCTTAAAAAAAAAGTATCAAAAAAATAAGTAGAGAGGCGCCTGGTGGCTCAGTCATGATCTCACAGTTCATGAGTTGGAGCCCTGCATCAGGTGAGTTCGAGCCCCGCTTCTCTCTCCCTTTCTCTCTCTGCCCCTCATGGGATTCTCTCTCTCTTTCTCTTCCTGTCTGCCCCTTGTTCATTCGTGCCCTCTCTCTCTCTCAAGAAAAAAAATAATAAGTAGAAGAAGATAGAGGACAAGATAGATATCATGGATGAAAAGATGTAGAACTATAACAAATTGAAGTTATAAAAAAATCAGTGGATAATGCTAAAGCTAAAAACACAGAGATTATGAACTCAATGCATGAGATTTACAGCAGAGGAGACATAGCAGAAGACAGGATTAATGAATTTAGAGTTAGGTCAATCGAAATATCTGTTAAGAAAATGAAAAAAAAAAAAAAAAAGGGATGCCTGGGTGTCTCAATCGGTTAAGCGTCTGACTCTTGATTTCCACTCAGATCATGATCTCAAGGTTGGTGGGTTCCAGCCCTGCATCAGGTTCTGCACTGACAAGGGTATTCTCTCTCTCCCTCACTCTCTCTCTGTTCCTCCCTGGTTTTGCTCACTCACCTTCTCAAAATAAAGAAATAAACTTTAAAAAGAAAAAAGAAAATGAAAAAAAGAGGGGCACCTGGGTGGCTCAGTCAGTTAAGCGTCTGGCTCTTGATTTCAGCTCAGGTCACAATCTCACAGTTCGTGGGAACCTTTTCTCACTGGCCCTCTCCCATTCATGCTCTCTATGTCTCAAAACAAATAAATAAACTAAAAAAGAAAAAGAAAGAAAGGAAGGAAGGAAAGAAGGAAGGAAGGAAGGAAGAGGGAAAGAAAGAAAAAAGGGAAGCAAAGGATAAGAAAAATACTCACAAATCACATTTCTAAGAAAGAACTTATATCCAGAATAAAGAACTCTCAAAACTCAAAAGTAAGGACACAACAACTCAATTAAAATTTTTTTAATGTATATTTATTTTTGAGAGAGAGAGAGAGAGAGACTGAGTGTGAGCGGGGAAGGGGCAGAGAGAGGGAGACAAAGAATCTGAAGCAGGCTTCAGGCTCTGAGATGTCAGCACAGCGCCCAACACAGGACTCGAACTCATGAACTTGAGATCATGACCTGAGCCAAAGTCAGACGCTTAACCGACTGAGCCACCCAGGTGCCCCACAACTCAGATTTTTTAATGGATAAAATAGTTGAACACTTCAAAGAAAGTTTATGTATATTAAATAAGCACGAGAGAATATGACTCACATCATTATTAGGGAAATTAATGCCACAATGAGATATGAATCATTAGAAACCTATTAGAAATGCTACCTATTAGAATACCCACCTATCAGAAATGCTAACGAAAAACAGAAGAAGTGACGGATAGTATTGAGTGCTGGTGAAGATACTTGGAGCCACTAGAACTCCTACATTGCTGGTGGGGATGCAAGATAATATAGTCTGGAAGGCAAGTTGGCCCAGAGGGATGATAGAAGGCTAGATCTTCATGCCCCTAAGGCTTTGCCAAGGGATTCTTAGAAGAAAGAGCAACAGAAGAAAAAGCAAATTGGCCTTCATCAAAAGTAAAACCTTTTGGGCTTCAAAAGACAACCAAGAAAGTGAAAGGATACCCTACGGAAGAGGAGGAAAATATTTGCAAATCATATGTGGGATTTTAAAGCTATTTATACAGATATATAAAGAACTCTTACAACTCAATAATAAAAAGAGAAAAAGCCCAGTTTATTGCTAACAGAAGTGTGGTGTAAGTTGTCAGTTTGAGTGATTGCTCCTCTGAGAAAGGCTCGTAAGTTGTGTTGCCTGGACAGAAATAAATATAATCAAATATCATAAAAACACATGAAAAATTCTTCAATAAAAATGTTTATGTGAAATGTGAGTAATGGCTATAGATATGATCTATTTTGAGGCCTATATTCTTGTTTCATAGATTTTCTTTTAATTCATCTAAATATTTCAGTGTGTGTGTTTATGACATATATACACTATGTTCTTTAAGGTATATATGTATACATATGTAAACAAATTGTATGTTTTACACATGAAATAATTATTTATAAATAGACAATTATGTGTAAAGAATTAAAATATTTATCATGAAAACTACCAATCATAAAATCACATGGGAATGATAAATGTATTACATTTCACATTCTGGTGGATGCCCAAATTATAAACGATGATTTGTGGGTCCTTCCACTGCAGTTTGCGGCTGTATCGGTAATGTTCTCGTGTAGGAATGTTCGAAGTTGTCTGTGTGTGGTGTGTGCTGGACAGCTGGTATGAGCAAGCTCAGCCTGAACGCCCTGTTAATCACTCTCTTGAGAATGTAGAGATCTTGACCTCCCTCTATATTCCCATCAGGAAGGATATGTAGAAAAACACGCTCAGCGTTCAAGATCAGGGACTCCGGCCATGACCAAGCTGGAGTGTCTCACTGTAAGGAAGGGTGTCCTTGTACGTTGGCCATGCAAGGAGGGGAAGGGCCCAGGTAGTCTTGGGTTATACGCTGTAACAGCTTGCCGCACGTAGATCCCAGCAGCAATACTTTATCCATTTGGCCACTGCTGGACTCCCTGCGTGCGGGTCCCCCCGGGAAGCCTGTGTCTCCGTCGTTCTCTCTAGGTCCTTTCTTTGATCTCACTGGACCATTGCCCACCACTGGCTTAGAATCGGCTGGGGTACAGCCATACGCTTTGTCAATATGAAATCTGTGCGTTAATTAGAACTTGTAATATGGCACCAGACTCCTGAAAGCCATCAGGAAGATAGTCTCCTGCTTTTGAAATCAGTTTTCATAATAAGGATAGACGGAGTCTGACATTTATAGATTTCTAGAGTATCCAATCGTTCACCATGTATGGTATTTGTTTTAATCTGAGTGTCTTTTGGGAACAGAGATTACGAAGGCATCTTTAGTAACCCACAGAGGTTTGTAAATAAGCACATGAAAGTATTTCAGAGCTATCTACTGAATTTCACATTTTAATTTTGGTCTCCATATTTTATAGTTACTAGAGTGTCTGTATGTATAGGAGTTAAGTAGCAATTTACGTAGAAGGGCTCACACTCAAACCACCTACAAGTTTAGAGAATTTAGAACAAAACAGCACAAGACATTCACAACCTCTTGAAATTAGCCATTCTGATTGAGATGACTCTTTGTTGAGCACATTGGGTGCATCTTGAGATCACAGGAAATTCTATGTTTTGATAGGCCAGATTATAATATTCAAATTTTTGATTAAATAAATTAGTGAATATTTGAAAAACAATGGATGCTGTCCAGTTACATATTAACATCCTTTTATTTCCACAAAATAAAAGAATTATATACCCCACATTAAAATTTTTTCAATATTAAGTCCTCATTTCCAGGGGCGCCTGGGTGGCTTAGTCGGTTAAGTGTTCAACTTTCGCTTAGGTCATGATCTCACGTTTCGTGGGTTCGAGCCCCGCGTCGGGCTCTGTGCTGACTGCCAGCTCAGAGCCTGGAGCCTGTTTCAGTCTGTGACTCCCTCTCTCTCTGACCCTCCCCTGCTCATGCTGTCTCTCTCTCTCCTAGAAAAAAAAAAAAATTAAAAAAATAAGTCCTCATTTCCAGATTTTTAAGTAATTCACATAATCGCATACTGTAAATGTATTCTTCCCTAGACTCTTTTAATCAAATATATGTGGCCTGCACCTCGCAAAATGTATTAATGCTGTTGATTTTCAAGTTTTAAATGGAGTGTGGCATTCCCATGCACACTTTTCCTTTGCATAATTATGCAGTGTTCATCATTTTGGAAAACGTTTCTTTGTGCACACACTTACCCAGTTAGAGCACTGAGGAGCCGCCTCTGAATTCTTAGCGCAAAGACAGGACAAAGAAATTCTACTACGCAGTTGGAGACTGGTGATCATACAATCACTTTATAAGGCTGGTTGATGACTTGGTCAGGAGCAGTAAAACAGTGTGGTGCGTCAAGGTCGTCGACTCAGCTGCACCCTTGGTTGTGGGGTCCACTCAGGGCAATGCTGGCTGTGCAGAGACTCCGGGAAGCTGCATGGGCCACACGTCTGCCTGCTCTGTGGCCCTGGCGAGGAGTGGGTGTCGTCTATGCTGGGTGACTGAGCTCAGCATGAAGAGTTGCGGGAAGACAGACCCTGAGTAAGAATTTAAAACGTAAATGACTTTTCTCTATGTGGCAGGGGTTGAGAACATACACATTTTCCCTTGAAACAGCAAAGTAAGTCAACAGAAAGTTACGAAATACATGTATGTTTTTATTCCATTTGCCTGGTTCTACAATTTAACCTATAATAGGATTATTCTAAAATCGGCTTAGGATATAATAAGATTTATTTTTAAAAGTATATTAAATTTTATATATATTATAAATTGTGCATAATCATATATGTAACGTATATTAAAATATACATTAGACATTTAAATTTAATAATCACATTAATTAGAGCTATTAAGTAATATTAATATACAAGAAACCCAGCACCAGGGCGGCAGCCTAGGTCAGGCCGAAACCACCCCACCCACCAGCGGGGTATCAGGGGGCTCCCTTCTTCCCCTTCGGCCTTCGGCGGGTGAAGACCGGCTACTTGCCCCGCATTAGAGGAGCGGTGGCCGGACGCGCTCCCATCCGCCCCCCTGTCCGGCCCCAGCGGCCGCTCGAGTTGGGGGGGGGCGGGCAGAGCTGCCCCGGCCCGCGAGGTGGCGACGCCCCTCCGCCTCCCCCCCCCCCCCCCCCCCCCCCCGTGGAAGGAAGGCGGACCCAAAGGTTCGCGGGCGGCAGTGCGGGCTGTGCACCCGCTCGGCAGGGCCTGGTCCACGCTGTCCTGCTCCGGTGACCTGACGGGCAGCGTGTCCAGGCGCCGGACAGCACAGGGCGGGAGGCACAGCGCAACGCGGGCACCGAGGGAGGGACGCGGGCTCCGGGGGGAGGGAAGCGGGCACCGGGGAAGGGACGCGGGCTCCGCGGGGAAGGACGCGGGCACCGGGGGAGGGACGCGGGCTCCGCGGGGAGGGACGCGGGCACCGGGGGCAGGGACGCGGGCACAGGGGGGAGGGACGCGGGCACCGGGGGCA